ATTGCATGTAGAAACTCACATATTATCTTAGATTAACTGCCCAAATTTAACATTTGAATCAATGTCTTGTTAAAAGGTCATTAATTATACATTGAAGATATACTTCGTCATGTTCATATTTGATCAAATACAGACACTCACAGATTTTACACAATATGAGGTAAACAGCACATTTCTGGTAAGTATTAAACAAGAGGCCCAAGGGCCTTAACGGTCACCTGAGTATGATACAACAATTTAAAGGATGCATAGAGTATAAAATGAACTGAAAGGTGAAGCTTTGTTGCCCAAAAGCAAGAAAAATAGGGTGATCATGATCAACAAAATAATTGGTCTTAATATTCATTAACAGTTCATAAATTAGGTTCTAGTCTGTTCCCCATTTATCACTATCACCATACAGTATATTAACAAATTATCAATGCTTCTGTACTATTTTAATCCTTTGTAGAAATCTCTTACATTGGCCTCTCTTGGTCTTTGATGAATATTTAATAAGACAAGTTATTTTTGTCTCATTTTTATTTATCTACTACTTACAAGTCTATCTTATCATTAAAACTATGAAAGTATTTTTTGTATTATACAATAAAAGTTTTTGCATAATTCTCTTATTCTATTTACCTTTCAAGTACATTATTTACAGTGATAAATTATCACAAGTAAATGGCAAAGGGGAATAACTCCTCTCAGTAGAATACAAACTAATAGAGCCCTGGCCAGGACCAGAACACTTGACCAAATGGTCCAGATGTTCAAAAATCTGGTAAAAATTCCCTTCCTTATAATAACTTTTACTCTGTTTGCCTCAGATATGCCCAGGTGTGGAGAAGATTTTTAAATAAATAATGCATTTTTACTACAGATTCACTATATTATCAATAGAGCCCCCAACCCCAACCCCCCACCCCCACCCCTGAAACACCAGAGCTTCTGACCCTGGGACCATATGTTTGCTCATCATAACTAATCACTTTGTTTATCTGTTTAACACTAAGGAGCAAACAGGATTATTTAATAGAATTAATGCATTTTCACTAAATTATCAAGAGCCCCACCCTCACACCAGCACATCTGACCCAGGGGTCATGAAATTCACTACTCTGGAAGAAGCACACTTGCTCAGCATAACTATACACTTAGCTTCTTTGCTTTTTTAACCAGAAGAAGAAAAGAATATTTTCAAAGAAATTTTGCTTTTTCACTTTATAATCAATAAAAGCCCCCCCCCCCCCCCCCACCCCTTCACCAGAACCCTTGAACCTGGGGTCATAAAATTCACAATTTTGGAAGAGGCATCCTTGCGTATCATAACAATGTATTTTTAAATTAGTCTGTCTAAACCCAGGGGCAGAGAAGAAGATTTTCAAAGAAATAATTCACCTTCACTATAGGATCTATATAGCCCCGCTCTAGCACCAGAACTCCTGTCCCCGGGGCCATGAATTTCAAAATTTTGGAAGAGGCATCCTTGCTTATCATAACAATGTACTTAGTTTGTTTAAATAATACCCAGGTGCAGAGAAAAAGATTTTTAAAGAATTAATACATTTTCACTTTATAATCAATAGAGCCCCACCCTAACACCAGAACCCCTGATCCAGGAGCCACGAATTTCACAATTTTGAAAGAGGCATCCTTGATTATCATAACTATGTATTTAATGCGTTTCAATAATACCCAGGAGTAGAGAAGAAGATTTTCAAAGAATTAATGCATTTTCACTATATAATCAATAGAGCCCCACCCTAACACCAGAACCCCTGACCCAGGGGCCATGAAATTCACAATTTTGAAAGAGACACTCTTGCTCATCATAACTATGTACTTAGTTACTGTATTTAATACCCAGGAGCAGAGAAGAAGATTTTCAAAGAATTAATGCATTTTCACTATATAATCAATAGAGTCCCACCCTAACACCAGAACCCCTGACCCAGGGGCCATGAAATTCACAATTTTGGAAGAGGCACTCTTGCTCATCCTAACTATGTATTTAGTTAGTTTATTTAATACCCAGGAGCAGAGAAGAAGATTTTCAATGAATTAATGCATTTTTCACTATATAATCAATAGAACCCCGCCCTAACACCAGAACCCTGCCCCCGGGGCCATGAATTTCACAATTTTGGAAGAGGCACTCTTACTCATCATAACTATATACTTAGTTGGTTTATTTAATACCCAGGAGCAGAGAAGAAGATTTTCAAAGAATTGATGCATTTTCACTATATAATCAATAGAGCCCCACCCTAACACCAGAACCCCTGACCCAGGGGCCATGAAATTCACAATTTTGGAAGAGGCACTCTTGCTCATCCTAACTATGTATTTAGTTAGTTTATTTAATACCCAGGAGCAGAGAAGAAGATTTTCAATGAATTAATGCATTTTTCACTATATAATCAATAGAACCCCGCCCTAACACCAGAACCCTGCCCCCGGGGCCATGAATTTCACAATTTTGGAAGAGGCACTCTTACTCATCATAACTATATACTTAGTTGGTTTATTTAATACCCAGGAGCAGAGAAGAAGATTTTCAAAGAATTGATGCATTTTCACTATATAATCAATAGAGCCCCACCCTAACACCAGAACCCCTGCCCCTGGGGCTATGAATTTCACAATTTTGGAAGAGGCACTCTTACTCATCATAACTATATGGGTGAATTAAAAAAAAATGACCACCAAACTAAATTTTTTTGGCAAAATTCAACTACTTATAACATATTTTTCACTTATATCATCATATTGCAAATGCATTCTAGTTTAAAATCCTGAAGTGGCAATAGAATAGACAATTGGATTAAAAAGTTTCAGAATTTTTATTAGTATAATTTCTTTTGAAAAAAGAAAATATCATTACACCATAAAAGACTTTCTAAAATACATAATCACAAGAAATTATAGTTTTTTATGCTTTAAAATGGTAAAAGGGGTATAAATGATTAAATCTAGACCTTGAATGAGTATCTTCTCTTGCACATGTGACAAAAAATTGGCTTTTTGATTGTTATTTTACATTATTTTTTCAATTCTGGTTTGAAAAGTTTTAATATGAAAAAAATATGAAGCAATAAAATTCCCCAAAATTCACTTTCTTGTTCGTTCAAGTCAATTCTTTAAATCTAAGCCAAAAAAGAATTGTTATATATGAGTTCTCTTACGAAAAATACTAGATTTTGAAGTGACCCTATGTTACATTATTGTGTTGCACTCCTGACATCTGATATATATTTTATTTAACATTGTTTTAAAAATTATAACACACAATAACCCATTCTTACTTTGTAAATCAATTTGTTGTGTTGATATATTTCATCGTTTACAGCAGGTTTTTCATATTTTGAAGACCTTAAAACATGATTATTTGCAAAGTGTAATATATATAAATTGTATTTAAAATATATGTGAAATGATGAAAACTATTCCCTGAATTGACTGTAAAATTTCTGTAATTAGTTGATAGACATAGTGTTTTGAACATCAAATAGTATCAAGCATTTTTTTTCAACTTAATTTTTAGTAAAGATAGTTAAAAAGCATCGGTAATTATGAAGTAGTTTTGTTGCACTCCTGACTGCAGTAAAGTTTAAAATTAAAACCACAGAACACAAAAATTCATAAAGTGTTGGCAACATCAAGTGGTAATGAAATTGTGCAATACTTATAGTCCAATACTTCATAATTAAAACAGATGAAAGTATTTAAAATTCGCATTTTATCTGGAATTATACCCTATTTTATGCCAAAAAACTAGCTTAAATGTATATTTAGAAGATAAAATATATTTTAAAGCATATTTTCCTTTAGAAGACAAACACAGTAACCCACCAGAAAAATTCTTCTCATCATTTTTTCTTTCTTTTTATTCTTATTGGATGATTTATAATTCTAACATATTTGTTGCACTCCTGACCAAAAGCATTTGGGCCTTTAAAGTAGAATTCTGAAGTGAAAATTACATAAGAACTTGTTCTGTTGTTTCAGTGAAGTTGAGGAGGAATTACTCGAATTTTATGACAATGTTTTAGTGTGTTTATTTTTAATGTTCATTAAAAAAATCACAACAAAGTTAAAAACACATCTGAATTGATAAAATTGAAAAAGGAAGGATTTTAATAATAAAACTGTCAATAATTTAGCATTAAATTATACAAAGAGATCATTATTAATTAATGAATACTTCTAAGCATGAATAGAAGTCTTTTCGTCACACAACTTGAATCTTTAAAAAATGTGTTGCACTCCTGACCATAGAAATATGGATCTGAAGCACAGACAGATCCTGTAATTGATAAATCTATTTGGTAAAAATGTTCTTTGTGTCTCTATTTTCCAAAATAAAAATCAGAAAATCATATAATGATAATAGTTTTTTCATGCTTGGGAGCAAAATATCAAATGTTGCACACCTGACATTTTGGGGTATGCACATATACTTGACTCTCATTAATGCTGCTTGTGATTTATATAACATTTTTAATTTTTAAAATGTATATCAGTTATTATTTTACACTTCCAAAATTCTTTTTTGTCTTAATTTTCTATCAGAATTTTACAATTGATGTTTTTTTGGCAACACTACATTTTTTCTGTTGCACTCCTGACATGGTATAACATTTTTTTAAACATCAGCCATGACCACAACCTGATTAAACAAAAGTTACTACAGTCCACATTTAAAGCTCAATACTTTGAATATTATCAGGAAAGTCTTTATTTTCAACATGAAGCATTATTTTTTATTTCACAGAGCTCCAAAAAATATTGAAATTTCAAAATGTCACAAAAAGGTGTTGCACTCCTGACAATTTTAGCATCATTTTTGGGCATAACTTTTTTGTTAATTGAGATATCAATGAGATATTTGGCAGGTATTTAGACACTATCTAAAGACATATGCTGAGACATAGAAATCTATTTTCATTGCCTGTATTTTTAGTGTGGGTTGATAAATATGCGTTTGGTCATTTTTTTTGAATTCACCCATATACTTAGTTAGTTTATTTAATACCCAGGAGCAGAGAAGAAGATTTTCAAAGAAATAATGCACTTTCACTATATGATCTATATTAAGCCACGCCCTAGCACCAGAACCTCTGACCGTGGGGCCATGAATTTCACAATTTTGGTAGAGGACTCAATGCTTATTACAATGATGCCAACAGTTTGACTGCTTGATGTCCAGGAGTAAAGAAGAAGATTTTTAAAGATTGCATTAATTTTGGTGGTTTTAGCCCCACCCCTCAGGCCCCAGGGGGGCAGGGACCATGAAATTCACAATTTTTGTTCCCCTTCACACATAGATGCTATATGCCAAATTTAGTTGAAATTGGTTGAGCGGTTTCAGAGAAGAAGCTAAAAATGTTCAAATGTTAACGCACATCTCACGTCGCCGGACAAAAACGGATAGCAATAGGTCACCTGAGTGACTCAGGTGACCTAAAAAAACCCTGCAAAAATGGTGTGTATTAATTTTTTTTCAAATTGTCTCCATAAATATTATATACTGGTAATATAACATAACATTGATTTCCAGTGTCTATCTCTCGTACTATAAATATATGTACACAGTAATTAAGACTATACACAGAAAATGGTATGGAGGTGGTATGATCGGGGAAAAAAGGTCTCATCAAAAGACGTTATCCATTGTCATCCTCAGTGACAATAAAAGAGTTCCAAGTATGAGCATTTTCAAATCCATTCCTCCCAAACTGATAATCCTTTCTAGCCTGGTGAAGTTCCTCCTCTGATGACATAACAAATGGACCTACATAAATCACAAACAAGGGTGAGGTTACAGGTAACAGATTCCACTTAGATGCGATTCTTCACATAATCAGACTTCCATTTAGGGGCCTTCTCAAAACCATTTTTCCCAGACTGATATTCCCGAAAAGTTTGTTGTAATTCGTCTTGAGAGTTCATAACAAAAGGTCCTGGGGGATACAAAACAGGCTCACAATCAAATAGCAAAACATACTTAACAAATTTCATAACAAAAGGTCCTGGGGGATACAAAACAGGCTCACAATCCAATAGCAAAACATATTTAACAAATTTCAATAATTTCCATTTTTTCTAAATATTTCAGAGAGTAAGTTAATCCTACTTTGTACCTTATCTAAAACAAATGGCTTACCATACTGAAAAACAGGCTCTTTGATTGGTTCCCCAGCAATCATAACTAAATGACATTCTGTTGACCCCTAAAATGTAAAAAAAAAAATTTGGAAATATTTTCCGACGAGTTTATAGACATGATCAAATTTGGTCCATTTTTTGTTATAAGAAACAACCACAGATAACATTTTGCAATTGAAAACCTAAAATAGTTCTCAGCTCTAAATGAATCAAACCTACATCTATCTTCCTATCCATATACAAGATGTGTCTAACACTACTGCTGAGTCTGCATAAAATGATAGGTAAGTGTGCCCCTACATTTTTTTTAAAGCAAATTGTACTTTAAAAAATGATAGAAAAAATGATTCTATGGAGTAAACTCAGAGTCTTATTGTGTAAGAAGAATCATTTCCTCCCTCCATCAAGCTGTTATAACCTGTATACATACTTGCCAACCTCCAACATGTAAAAAGAGGGTCATGACCCTCATTGGAAAGTAAAAAATCTGGTCATAAAGCGTAACGACATTCACAACATATTTACCATGATTATATTATATTTCATACTGCATATATATACAATAAGCATTCGTATACTGAGGATTATTTTACTGACATGAGAAGTTTGAGCTAATTTTGAAAGTATTCAAATCCTTGTTTTTAAGCTATTTTTCATCTCCAGACCTAATAAACAATGCAATGTAGATTTAATGTACAGTTAGCCTCATACTATTTTTAATCACTCTATTTTATCAAATTAAAGTTGAGTTCCAAATTCTTTGATATGTACATAAATATTGTTTTTATTTTTCTTGGTGTTGTTGCTGCTAGCCCTGATAATGATCTTATTCTATCCAAACCCAATTTATAATGACTTCAACATAGTTTCAAAATTAGGTTGATAACTCGAAATTAAATGTGCAAACTAATTTACAAACCAAACCGAGATTTTCGGGTTGTTCGGCAAAAATCAGGTGAAATCCATGAGCACTGTGTTATAGAAATAATCAGGTTACAGGTTGAAAAATAAGGTTGACCCAAAAAATCGGGTTAATTGGTAACTTTGTGTATAATACATGGATAATCTCTATATAATCTTTATATCATAATAACAGCTTACAGAGTTCTCTGCCTGTATACCGTCTCCGTCATCATTGAAGGTTACCGTGTGATGAGCTTCATGTTCCCTCTGATTTCCTGCTGGACCTGTAACCATAGCAACAATATCTACTTGATGTCAGGATACGTGGGAAAAAGTCTGATCATGCATCATTTTGAAAAGTAGATACACATGGTTCAATGTACTTGTATGCTTATATTATTTTATGACTGGGAAGGTATTCTGATAAATTTCTCACAACATATGTTGTCTTATAAGGTTCTAATTGTTCTCATACTGATACCATCCCCTACTAGACATTAGGTAAATTAATAATCAAATACAAGGGATTTATAAAGTTTTAAATTATCTCCAAATATAACTTACTCTTAAATACAATTTCCACTGAAATAAAAATTAAGGTTTTTTTTTTTTTTAAATTTTGTTGAAAAATAAAAAACAATGCCAATTAATTCTTATCATAAAGCCTTGCAGTGCTGAAAAATATTGTAATCTGTATCATTTTGTAACCACTGTCTTGTGATATGTATCATTTGATTCATTTTACAGAATGCTTGTATCATCACAGCCTTCATTAATTTGAAGAAGTAAAACTTTAAGAACATGTACTATTCCTACAGTGTATCTGCACAGGTACATGTAGCAACCCCTGAGTATACAGTACATTTCCAAATCCAACTCCCTTCTATAAATACCAATGTATATATGCAAATCTTGCCAACTCACCAAACTTTGCCTTGCCAGATAGGATGTACAAGAAGGACCTCCAACCAGCAGGTATTGGTTGTTCCAGTTTAGATCCAGGATCCAGCTTAAAGTCCAGATACATTGTAGGAGTGCGAGTATATACCTTTGACTACAACATTCATAGGATAAAATCATCAAAGTCCAGATAAATTAATACTGAGAGGAAAATGAAAGCTTAGTCCATAAGATAGTCACAGTAAAATAGGAATGCTTGAATTCAAGGAGCACCTGTAAACATTTTAACTGCATGTTTAAAGTTACATACAGATGTGTAGAAATGTAAATTTTTAATAGTCACTTTATACATTTTCTTATTAACCTTTATGCCAAAAGCTTCCCCAGCAATGACCTTGACCGTGACCCCATTTTTGGTTGTCCTTGGGATGTCCTTGTCCTTCAGCTCCTGATAAGCTGGTTCAATCATTTTGTATTTCTTGGCCAGATTGACCCACAGCTGAAGGCCATGGGCCTCCCCCTCTCCATGTGGCATTTCACAGTGGACAATTCCTCTGCCAGCTGTCATCCACTATATCATAAATGAATATTTATTACTTCAAGGTGAACAATAATAAAAACTGTTAGAAGGAAAGGGCTTTATAGTAAACAATTTCAATGATCCCTTACTCTTGAATGATCGATTTTCTTAAATATAGAAGTACTTTCAGTTAAACTCTTGGAGGTATTTTGGCTCTCCAGAGTTTAAGATATCTGCATGGTTTGGTAAATCTCTCTCTCTCTATATATATATATAATTATATGACATTATGCATCAAATCTAACAATGACATCATAAATAAAGCTTCATAAACTTGCGGGAAGCAGTATAGTGAGACTATACAATGTGAAGTGCTATAACATTGAAAATAACAAAGGGAAAAATAAGAAGCAATGAATAATTATAAACAGTGCAGTCTTAAATTATTCAAATATGATTACTAGTATTACGTATACCAGAACTAATTTTTTTCTCTGGTTTTCCTTCTTTACCTGTAAATCTCCATCCTGAATTATCCCCTTGTGACCACAGAAGTCCTCATGTCTCATTGACCCTTTCAAAACATAGGTGACCTACAGACAGAATATTCACTTACAATTACCCTTGTCGTTTTTAGAATTCCTCTTGCTGTTTCAAATATTCATGTATAACATTATCTAGCAAATTAGCAGTGATTAATTTTTTGTTCAAAAAATGTTAAAATATTATCTTGAATTAAGAAAATTTCTGGGAAAAACGTGAATTGACAAAAAGTGAACAACAATTGAAAACATTCCCTCTAATTAAAACATCAATACACATTTATCATGTTTATTAACAAAAAATTGTAATCTAAACACATACCGTCTCAAATCCTCTGTGTGGGTGGTCCGGAAATCCCCCTGGTGCCTTTCCTTTGAATTCATCCAGCATCAGGAACGGGTCAAAATTTTTCAACTACAAACATTAAACATTGATGATATAAAGGGTTATCAAATGCAATTTGAATTTTCTACATTTATTTTTGGAAATATATCTCTTAAATACATTCACAAGAAGATAAATATTGGATGAATTCCAGTAGACTTCCCAGTAGCACAAGTTATCTAGGTGTGTCCTCAAAAGTGATCTCTGTCTGTGAAGGAGCTAGCCTATCAATGTGGAATTTCATTCTAAATTCATGTATACCGTAAATCTGGAAATTTTTGCTGTAGATAAATTTTTAGCAGATTTGCGCGTGCATTGCATTCGCAAAAATATATTTCTTAAAAATAAATCAACAACAAAAAAATGAAAAACAAAAATTTTTGCTATTTTTTAACAAGATGAACAGGTGTTCGTAAGCAGTGGTCATTTTTAGAAATCTGTTTATACTACAAGCTAATTACCCGTGACAATCCGTGCGTAAGACTACCTTCACTACATTCAACATCGTCCGATGGTCTGACAGGCAGTATGTCTCTTTTAAATTATTTCTTTAAGAAAGAGAGGCCAGTTGTTTTATCTAAGAACAGATGTTTTTATCTGAAGGTTAGTTAAAACTGACAGCATTTTATATATTTTTTGTACATGCGTGATTTATTAAAATGTTATGAAAACTTTAAATAGGTTAGATGTTTTATCTCCTAAATTCTAATATTTTATCTTATTATCGAACACTGGCATTGTTTAGTATTGTATGTACATGTGTAATTTATTGTAAGTACATGCGTAATTTATTGTATGTACTACATCCTTAACTTATAAACTGCTATGAAAATTTTAAGTGCTTTTTAATTTTAGCACCAATGTCAATTCGCAAAATTTTGAAACGTAAAAATTAATCAACAGCTTTTTGAACCAGATTCGCAAAAATAAATCGACGTAAAAATTTCCAGATTTACGGTAGTACCAGTAATATTCTGCATATATTGTCATTATCATGTTGATACCCCTTAGCACAATACAGTTGACCTTCAGTATATCAAACACTGATATCTCGAATACCACGGATATATGTCAAAGTGATTTGGAAGTCCCAATCACTTTTTCTTTATGTATTTTAACCTTGATGCCTATAGACTCCTCGGATATCTCAAAGTTTCTCGGTCCTATCAAGTTCGTGATAATGATGTTTGACTGTATATACAAGTGTCAAATGTGCATGTACATGTTTACATATATAGATGATGTATGTAAACTTACGCTTTTTAACCTATATTTTAGAACTTTTCCTTCTTATATTTCAGACTTGACAGAACTCAAAAAGAGTTCACTAAAATTATTCCAGCACTCGAGTGTTTTGAGCTTGAAACATCAATCAGATGATACACTGTTCTAAGTGATACCTCTGGTCTCCCTATACTCCGCCTGACTCGAGCCCCCACTCCTTCGTCCTGCTCCACGGACAGTACGGCCTTCTGTACGGTCCTAGCCTTCATAGTGGATACGGCTCGGGATACAACCAAACACGTCTGGTTAGAAAATCTGAATGGATTAAACTGCTGACAGCTTTTCTTGAGATGATTACTGGATGTGGCTTTAAAACTCCCAAGTAGGGCTGACAGTGTGCAAGTAACAAGACTGTATCTACTCAGCATTCAGGGTACTGCAACAGTCAATATTGGGAGTTTGTGATTACACCAGTTGATTCAACACTATCTAGATATAATTAGGCATTTAATCAAACAGTTGCCAAAATCTATTCATGTAATAAAATGAAATGAAAGTTGACAATCGCGTTTTTGAAGGAAACAATACATGTAGCCTGTATTCAGATTTTATACTGTACCGCTGTTATATCCACAAATATGTTCATAGTACACTACCATATGTAAATATATATTAATTTGTGAAAATATATTACACATGATATATACACACATGCACGTCGTCTTTGTATAAAGCCTTCTGTATGGATTGTCAATATTTAGAACATTCCACAATGACATAGCGGTATTTAATTTTTTTACGTAACATTATTTCAATGTCAATTAAATGAATAAGAGCAAAACACGGATGTCCGTGTATATTTTACATTAAAAGAAAGAAAACTGGATCCATTTAAGAATTCGTATATAACTGTTACAGTTAGTCTACTCACTGAAAATTTCCAAAGGAGACATCTAACATGCTACAATTTTTTGTAAACAAACCTAGTATGCTTATGTTTTTTTTTTTAATTTCTAATTACAGGAGAGTTCCGATTCGAGAGGCCCAAAGGTGTTAATGGTCACCTGAGTATACTGTACCACTGTTTGAATATAACTTAAGTTAAAACAAAATAAGCTGATAAATGAAGCTATGTTGCCCAAAATCAGGAGAAATAGGATGATCAGGGATCAGCAAAATAAATATAGATTAATTTAGTGCTCAGTAACACATTTTAAAGTTGATCTATTTACTTGCCTGCACTTGCCCCAATTTGACAAGTTATCTCCATGCTGGAACAAGATAAAACAATGGTTCTTGAGCACTATTAGTAAACTGATCTCAATCCCTCTCCATTAGACTCACTGAGTCTTTGAAGAACATTTAATGTACAAATATAAGGTATTTTTGTTCCTTTTTATTTATCTAGTATTTACAAGTATACCTGTTCATTAAAAACTAAGAGAGTACCTTTTGTATTAAAAATTATTAAAATTCTTGTATAATTCTATTATTCAATTGACCTTTCAATTGCATTATTTACACTGATTAATTATCAAATGATAGGTGAATAGCAAAGGGGAATAACTTCTTTCAGTAGAATACAAATTAATAAATTCACAAAGTGGTGCAGACTTTAAACAATCTGGAAAAATACCCTTGCGCATTACAGCTTTATATACTCTGCTTGCTGCCTAGATGCCCAGGAGCAGAGAAGAAGATTTTCAAAGAAATACAAGTGTAATGCATTTTCACTATAGAAGAGCCACACCCTAATGTTAACACCAGACCCTCTGACCCAGGGGCCAAGAAATTCACAACAGGCTCCCTTACCCTTGCTCATCATAACCATGCACTCAGTATATTTGCTAATTACCATGGACAGAGAAGATTTCCAAAGAAAACAATGCATTTTTTACTATAATATATTCCAAAGAGCCCCACCATAGCACAAAAACCACTGACCCTGGGGTTATGAATGTCAAAAGGATGATTCTCTATAAGGCCATTTTCAGGCCTATGATAAAATCACTTAAAAATGTGATTTTATGTAACTTTCATCATTCTATTTCATGATTTTAATGTTTGTTTTTCAACATCAATCACCTATCTCATGTGATTTAGAGATCACAAACGGCCATCAATTAAAGAAAAATTGAGGCTAGGTCTATTTACATCAAGTTTCTAAGCATTTTTCTAAATTTTAAAGATCAAAATTGCTTATTTATGTCAGAAACATTTGATACTATTTGAAGTCACTGTAGGCAGCAAAATGGCCTTATAGAGAATGAACCTTTGAAAAGGCATCTTTGTTCATCATAAGCATGCAATTAGTTTTTCTGCTAAATATCCAAGGGCAGAGAAAAGATTTTCAAAGAAATAATGCATTATTTTCACTATATTTTTAACAAACCCTCACATGAACTCTGGAACCACTAATTTCATAATCTTTTGAAGAGGCATCTTTTCTCATCATAATCATGCACTTAATTTATCTGCTTAATACTCAGAAACAGAGAAGATATGCAAAGAATTAATGCAATTTCACTTTATAATCAATAGAGCCCCACCCTAAACCAAAACTTCTTACCCGGGGGCCATGAAATTCAGAATTTTGGAAGAGGCATCCTTGCTCATCATAACTATGCACTTGGTTTGTTCAATACACTGTAGCAAAGAAGATTTTCAAAGAAATAATGACCTTTTCCTATAAAATCAATAGAGCCCCCCTCTCCCAGACAACCCCTGACCCTTGGGCCACAAATTTCATAATTTTGGAAGATGCACTCCTGATTATCATAACTGTGCAATTAGTTTATCTGCTAAATACCGAGGAGCAGAGAAGAAGATTTTCAAAGAATTTATGCAATTTCACTATATAATCAATAAGAGCCCCGCCCTAACACAAAACACCCTAACACCAATTCCAAAACCCCTGACCCACTAGCCAAGAAATTCAGAATTTTACAAGTGCTCATACATGCACTTAGTTTATCTGCAAAATATCAAGGAGCAGAGAAGAAGATATTCAGAGAAATAATGCAGTTTCAGTAAGAGCCCCCCCCCCCCCCCCCACTAAACTAAAATCCTGACTCTTGATCACCATAACCATGCACCTAGTCTATCTGCTAAATATCTAGGGACAGAGAAGAAAATTTTCAAAGAAATAATGCATTTTCATTTAATAAAGCCCCATCCTAACATCCTAACACCAGAACCCCTGACCCAGAGGCCATGAAAATCACAATTTTTGAAGAGATGCCCTTGTTCATCTTTAAATTATTTGCTTAATACACAGGAGTAGAGAAGAAGATTGCCAAATTTGGTTGAAATTGGTTCAGCGTTTCTTCTAGAAATTCCTAATTGAGGACATTTTAAGTGGTAAATTTTTAATACTATTGACTTAATTAATACATGTATATTGTATCTGACTTTTACCTTGGATTTGATATTAATCAGTTATACAACAAACATGCAATCATCTGAATTCTATTTTTATTACACACTCAAACATGTGGAATGTATTGTCAAAAAATATATTAACTAGGCAAACTTAAATCACATGTATGTAAATATTATTAAAATATTCTCTTTCTCCTCCCTCTTTCCCTCTCTCAAAATATACATATACATATAAATATGGCAAAATGTAACTCAAATGAATTTCATGTGAAATATATATGAAAATTTTCACAATTTCTCATGAGGACCATTTGCCTGTGTATCGTTACAATAAAAAAAAAATATTTCAACTCCAACAGTTGTACTTCTGTTTAAAACATACAAATCCAATAACATTTTATTTAGGATGTTTTGTTTTACATTAATACAATAATGCTTACCGAGAAGTTAATGTTCTTCATAAGAAAACTTATTTGATGTTTTTCATTTGTATCAATAAGCATTTTATTCCTTCTTGTAGATTGAAAGACATCTTAACACACCTCCTGAGAGAAATAATAGAGATCAGAAGTTGGTCAGCTAACATCGAGATTCTTTACATAATCAGACTGCCATTTAGAGGCATTCTCAAAGCCAGGTCCCCCTGTCTGATAGTCATGTAAAGCCTGCTGTGCTTCCTCTTGTGAGTTCATAACAAAAGGTCCTACAGGTAGAAAAAGTAATAAATTACAAATTAAAAAAACAGAAAATTTCTCAGGGATTAATGAACGATCTTGACTATTTGAACTAAGACCCTTGACCCTAAAATCTAGAAAAGCCTTTTCTACCTATAAATGAATTTGATGTCTGTAGGTTTCAAATAATAAAAAGTGTGTGTAGGAATAAATAAATATATTTAACTTAAACGATTTGTCACACAAAACTGAATAACTCAAAATCTTTATGTTTCTCTAAGCACATTACGGTCCATTGAAGATCATAGCAGCTATGTAGCTCTATGAAGAGCTACAATCACGAAGGATATGCTAGCCTAGCTGCTACATATTAGGGAATAAAAACAATTAATTCATATTGTGCATTAAAGCTGAACACGACTCGTAAATAGGCATTCACCATTTTTGATAATACTATCTACAATTTCGGCACTGGGGTATACTTTTCGCATTCGTTACACCTGACTGCTTTAGTGTCATGGGTATCGGCATGGAATGGTGACACATGTTCATGCTGGTTATCTTGCATTACCTATGTTTACATTTTATTGCAGTAACATGTATTTGTGTTTGTTTGTATACTGCACTGACCTGTGCAACTGTTGTAAGTTTCTTTGGTATATTACTCTCCTGCATAAGAAGAAGTACTCAGTTATTTGTTGTTGCTAACGAGTGCTGTATAAGCATACGTCTGTCTACACTGGTGACAATTGATTACACTGAACAGTGACTAAGTGAGTGGCTTTATATAGGGAACCTCAGATATAGCGAGAGACCAATTGATATGGCAGACACATTCCTTTTATGAATCGTGTTCAGCTTTAATGGACCTATCAATCTAGCCTAGCAGGTAGGCTAGCAGCTATGATCTTGAATGCAGCCCTGCAAGGTCACTTGCAAAGTGAAAATTGATTATGTAAGCTGACAGAATAATGGTCTTTTTGTCATGGTCCTCTGGCACATATTTTTGAAAGAATGTCTAATGCCCAAGATCAGAATGAATTTGTTTGGTCATAAAGATCTTGATCTTTGGCCAAAAGACCCTGACTCCAGTCCATAGGTGTCTTCCTACTTCCACATAGCATTTCCTATCTTTATAGTATATGAATATATATCAAGTTTGTAATTTTGAAATAACAGTACTATTGCACCAACAATTGTATAAATAATCTTGGCCTTTGTCTGAGACTCTCAAATTGATAATATCTTTCAACAACTTAGTGATACTAAAAGTTTGATAGTTCAAAGGCACTGAAGTTACACAAGACTGTTGACCGATGACAGAGGGACAAGTTTATCACACAGGACACATTAGTGCTTTATAATTTCTTTCAAATTACCAGAATTTTACGATAGCTGAACTTCAAAGCAATATGGTAATTATATTTTAATGCCTTTTATGCTGCTTCTTGACTGCTAATTCAAGTACACACTATCATATGATAAAATAAATACATACAGAAGTTTTGTTCCAAATGCACTAATTTATGATTGTGCTAATCAGTTGATGAGGAAGATTCAGCTAAATGTTGAGTGCACTAATTTATGTATGTTTACAGTATCTAATAACTACATAAAATCACATGACCTACCCTGCTGATAAACAGGTTCTTTGATTGGTTCTCCAGCAATCATAACTAAATGACACTTTGCTGTCCCCTAAAATGTCAAATTATTTCTCAGTATTAACAAAAGATTTCTGAGAGCATTGTTTAAGTAATACATGCCCCCCTCCAACAAATTTTCACAAAGTATACATTCACACAAAATGATTCTTTATAATATGATCTGAGGATTCTGCAAATAATTACAATTAGCTAGCATAACAGTCAGCATTCACACAGTTAGCTGTGAGGTGTTGGATAACTTAATTCAAGGTTTAATCTGAGCAAGTGATTCAACAAATCCACTAAATGTGATATAAATATTCTGTTTGTGTCTCCCTCCCTGAGTGATGAATATTTAACACTCAATATCATCAGCTTACAGAGTTCTCCACTTGTATACTGTCTCCATCGTCCTCAAAGGTCACCATGTGATGAGCCTCGTGCTCCTCCTGACTTCCTGCTGGACCTGTAACCATAGCAACATTTAGATATATAAAAAACAATGTGCTCATTGGCCACAGCACTCAAATAATTATTCCCATATAAAAATGTTTATCCCTGTTGTGTGTATACATGTATATAATTTTGAAAATGGCTTTTGTACATTAATTTTGAAGTGGTATTAAAGTAATGTACTGTTACAATATTTATCGGGTTCTTTTTCTATACTGCAATGCAAATATTTTGCTTTCCTGTTTCTATGTGAACTATCTTGTCAGGTTTCTTTGGATTTCAGTGTATATGTGTCTTACATGAACCAACCTACCAAACTTTGCCTTGCCGCACAGGATGTACAAGAAAGACCTCCACCCAGTTGGAATCGGCTGTTCCAATTTAGATCCAGGGTCCAGTATAAAGTCCAGATACATTGTAGGTGTACGCGTGTATATCTTAGACTATAAAAATTATACAGGATAAAAGATACACATGGCAACATTTTGGTCATAGAATGCATTCTCCACTAAGTTTCCTTTGTTGTTGATGGTTTTGAATAACAAAAAAAGTATAGCTGGGATAAATGTTTTCCATTCACATATATCTGTACAGAAAATATTCATTTTATTAAAAAATTGTTAATCTTTGGATAAAAAAAAGAATTGCAGGGGTCATTTCATTACCTTTATTCCAAATGCTTCCCCAGCAAGGACCTTGACCATGACTCCATCTTTGGTTGTCCTTGGGATGTCCTTTTCCAGCAGCTCCTGAAATGCTGGCTCCACCATCTTTTCTTTCTTGGCTAAATTAACCCACAGCTGAAGTCCGTGGACCTCTTCTTCTCCATGTGGCATTTCACAATGGACAATTCCTCTGCCAGCTGTCATCCACTACATGTATAACACAAGGTCACAAAGAACTGTATGTCTCCATGAAAATCTTTTACAACCGAGGATGATAAAAAGATTTTCTCCAATTCTAGTTATTTCTATGAGAGACATTTTTTTAATTCAACTAATGTGGGAGGTTTGATAGGTTCTTGGTAAATATCTCAAATACAATGGTTAGTTTGGATCTTGCGTCTAAAAACAGAGCAAATGACTGTAAATGAACTTATTCATGGTCACTCAAGCATAAAATGTAGATCAGATGCTGTATTCAATGCATATATAAATCAGAACATTATCTGTAAATTAGAAGCTCCATATGCCTCAATCAGTTTAATTTGAATAACCTTTTGAAATAAGCAGCCTGGAAAAGATCTCATTGCTTCCCTTAAGTTAAGAGGAGCCAATCTATTGTAAATGTAGGTCAGATACAGCATCCTTTGCAAGCATCAGACTTAACAAACATTTACAGCCACCACTTGTGCAAGCATAGTTTGGAAACCCTTGGGAGTCAGACACAGGCCTAAAGGCTGGTAATCCTAAGATACTGGAGCATATGAAGCACTGAACATCATATCTGCAAGTTTGGTCTGAAGTTGAATACCCCTTAATTGAGATAATTCATGAACTAACTTAAACAATAAGCTTAAAAGAAATAAAGGCAGACAGAAAAATGAGTGGATGGACACAGTGATTCCAGTATACTCCCCCTCTCTCTCACAGCTTGTTGCAGGGATATCAAATATAAAAAGTACTGGTATGGCTTGTGGGTAAATTTTCATTACAGGTACATTAAACACAGTGACTGATCTTTCTTGCTGGTTCATTTAGCATGCTAACTCACCTGTAACTCACCTGTAAGTCTCCAGGTTGCAGTAGTCCTTTATGACCACAGGAATCCTCATATTCAATTCCTCCTTTCAAAACATAGGTGACCTGCATCAGATAAAAAAATCATATAAAATGAAATTGATTTTGACTTCTTACATGTTAAGTTCACAGTTTCCCATTACTTTGTGACTTTTCATTTTTCACTGGACCACTGACACTCTGAATCTAAAAGCTCAATGTTCCCTTCATGTGAATTTATTGCAAAATGTACATCGTACAGTGTAGAAAACACAGAAGTGAAGCTGCAGAAAATGTACTGCATCAAGCACTTCAAACGTCTTAAAATGTCTTATGTCAGAGAGAGAGAGAAGGATGTGGATCTAAGAACTGAAATTCCATGTTCCATTTTCAATGTGGACAAAACTTGACTTAGGATAAAAAGCTAAATGATAGCAGCTAGAACTAATAACTAAAATATAGTATTCAATCCAACCCAAAATCCAAGTTCACATTTGACAATATGTGCATCATGAGGCACAGAGAATACTGCAGTCAGTCAGGTGTGTCCAATATGCCTTTTTCCTTCTTTATTCATGGTAGAGAAGAGCATATTAGAAATACTTGGATAGCAATGCTGCTTTGCATCTATCCACGCAGCCATCAATTTCAAAATAACTTCAGGAACTAAGATCACAATACCCCCCCCCCCCCCCTCCACTTTATCATGGAAATGTTGGCATATTCTATACATTTATTCTAATTACTAATGTTTCAAATTATTTCACACTGCCAAGAAACTTAGTTTAGTATGATGCATATATAAAACAGACGTATGTCTTGATACTATGAGAAATTAATATTCTACTAAAAGTGCAAGTTATTTTAAACAAACCGCCTCAAAGCCTCTGTGTGGATGGTCAGGCATTCCATCAGATAATTTGTCTGTGAATTCATCAAACAACAGGAATGGATCAAAAGTTTTCAACTAAAAAATAAATTAAAAAAACAAAACAAAATGATATACCGGTATTATTGCTAAAAAATAATAATGTGAAGCAATCTGTACGTGAGTGGTTCAAAGGATCTAATTTTAATGAGATTGGTTAATTAACACTAACACGTTTGGAATATGACTTTACTTTACCAGTCCCCAGAAAAACGTGCTGAAGTGACTTAAGTATATAAATTATGAGATCGCGTGAGCAATCGAAAAAAAATTAAAGTATGAGGTTTTTGGCCTTTTTGGTCCTAAAATCGAATTCTATGGTTAAAGTTTAGTTTAAAACTTTTGTTTTTAAACTAAGTTTTTAACCTAGTTCTCTGAAAAAATTAAATAAATATTGTTTATTCACTGAAAAATCGACAAAAAAAAAAAAGTCAACAAAGCACGTGAGCCGCATGCTTAGTGAAGTTTCTTTTGTACTTAGCCATTTTTTCATGTAAACAAACCAATGAGATGTTGTTGAAGCTGAATTAAGATCTTGCAAAAAATACAGATGCAACTGAAATGCTTAATAATCTAAAAGAACAAGACACTAACTCTAATCTCTCAAATGGTTAGGGAAGACTAACCCAAATCTCACAAGTGGATGCTAGACTAACCCTAAGCAGACAAATAATGTGCGAGGAATAACCCTAATCTCTCGGATGGATGCGAGACTAACCCTAATCAGTCAAATATTTCTGCAAGAACTAAACCTTGTCTCTCAGGTCGGTGCAAGACTAACCCTAACCAGTCGAGTAGTGTGCAAGACTAACCCTTATCAGTTGAGTGACGTTTATCTTACATCATAGTGCAATGAGTGCACGGATCTTGCGGATCTGGGGACCGGTAAAGTAAATTCTACCCACATGTTTAGGTTTATTCCAATCAACAGCTCCAATGTTATGGACCAGACATAATCTTTACAACTACATTGTTAAGTAGCCTTAATCTTGAATTTTGACAAGAACATGCCTATGGATGATCATCAATATATTCAAGTTTAAATACATTCCCATCCCGAGTCCTAGAGTAATTGCCAAGACGTGATTTCTATATAATATCTATGTCAAGTGACCTTGACCTTTAACATATGACCTTATTAAATTGAGAACATGTCAAAACTTTGTGCCATCTGCAACAACAAACTTCAGATTGAACCATTTCCAACCATAGATTCAACAGGTCCAGCACAATTTCTTGATTTAGCTATATAGCTTGATTTAGCTATATAGCTTGATTTAGCTATATAGCTTTGTTAAGCTATCCAGAATAGCTTGATTTAGCTATTTCATCACACTTTTTTCTTAATGTGTTATTTTTTCAGCATGTACAAAAAGTTGCTCTTGGTGTAGTGATAATATTGAACTCTTCTGAAAATAATGCATGTAAAAATCACTCATCAAATTGTGTCTCCTTGAGAGACTTTGTACTCAAAGTTCTGAAAGTTTTGGGGCAATTGGTAAATGTGACCACACAGTTACTTCTTCAGTGAAATTATAAAGAAGGCCAATTATGGTCAACAAGATAATTGATTGGTAATAATTCAGTACAATGAGAGGCAATCATACTTCTCCACGCCTCAACGCAAACAAGGTAGTGTACATGCAGTTACTCAAACAATGGAAATTCAGCTTTTGCTGAGTATTCAAATGCTGCAATGTTAGAACTATTTTTGATTTCGGTTGTTGTTTTGATAGCCCATAGTACATATATGAATAATCAAATACTTGCGACTTTTTGTCTATTTCTTACAAAAAACATTTTTCTGAAAAACTGCATATAATTAGCTAAATCAAGCTATTTTGCATAGCTTAATAAAGCTATATAGCTATTTCAAGCTATATAGCTAAATCAAGAGATTGTACCTGACCTGTTCAATAGTAGTCGATACACTGTTTACTTCCTTATTTTCCAGTGACCATGACCTTTGAAATATGACCTGTAATGGTCATAACACACTCTGTACATGTAGGTCATCTACAACAAATTAACAAACTAAAACTTTTGATTCATTCAAATTAAGAGTTCGGGAGTTATGATTGAAAATAGCTCGTATACGATTTTGTGACAGACAGATAATCGGTGAAACAGACAATCAAAATCTCATCCTGCTGCGGGAGACGTAAAACAGTGGTGCGCTCGTGCCGTAAAACACAAACTGCGGGACGGTTCGCCCCAAAAGACCATTCGCGCTGAGACGTTTCGCCCCAGGACGGTTCGCACCGAAGATCAATCAATTAATTATGTGGCAATTATCACTTGTTAACAGCAATTATCAACTTCTTAACTTTTATACTGTGTTATATTAATCCAATCAATTGGTTCAATCAATAATACCAATTTATATGGGTTATACTTAACACCTGACACCGCAGGGACCTATAAGGACCTATAAGTCCCTGCGGACACTGAAAACCAAATTATAACACCTTAATTACAAAACTGAATCAGACAATTATGATTGCTGAATAAACATAATTATATCTGCACATGGATAATTATACCTTTAATTATGGTATAAGCCTATTTTCAACAATTTAAACAGACATGAAAGTTTTTTTTAGTAACTTTAGAACTTTTTTTAATAAAGTCAATATTAACCTTATATGTAAATATTTATCTTAAAACATATCGTATTTATATCGTTATAGACAATGAAGATTAAATCGGGCGCGAAACGTCTCGGCGCGAAAGGTCTTCAGGGGCGAATGGTCTTGGCGCGAAACATCAATTGGGGCGAAACGTCCCGTTACCGGGTACCTCAGGTCTTCCTACACCCCGTCTGACTTTTGCTCCGGGCCCTACATCCTCCTCCACCGTCAGTAAAGCTTTTGATACAGTCTTAGCCTTCATTATAAACACAACACTGGTTCAAACCAATTGATATTAGTCATACACTTGTTTTGATTGACCATATTCATGATATTGTCAGAAAACTTTCTGAAGTAAACAATCCTACGACCTTTCATTGTTTCCAATCACAGAAGAGCGGGCCCCATTCGGCTCACCTCGGGAATGTATTTTGTTGATGATGTAATCAACCAAGGTATGCCGAGTAGACACAGAGGAGGCGGATCAAAACGAAAATATTGGGATGAACTGTAATAGGCCTATTTCTTTTCCTACATGTATAATGTTTCATAAAGATTTTAAACCATAGTATTCACATTTTTTCATTTCTTTTTTACATATCTGGTGAATGAAAAGAAAAAGCATGCATAACGTACTTATACATTTATGTAATTTAATGTATAATATATATATAATGTAATGTTAATGTAACGTATAACAGTTATGTAACATTTTCAGGTGCACCTCAAACTAAATTGACATGTTTCTGTATGATTTTAGTACATGTATACAATAAAACTTCCTCTTCCAAATAAAAACAAAAATTTAAGGAAGCTTCTAAGGCCAAAGTTTTTATTTTTTTTGGTTTACGATTTTCTGTCTCAAAAAAATGCATTGGGTGGTCGAAAAATAAAAATAAAAATAATTTAGGATTCAACAGTTTCATTTTAAAATACCAGCAATGTTTATTTTAATAAAAAATAATACACGTCAATAGTACTTTTAAGTTTTATTGTCTAGATCACATAACTCTTTTTATTAAATTTTGATTCCTTTCTAACTATAGACTGAATGTCATTTTCATTTACATATAGTTCTGATTTTTGTTTGTCAATCAGTGCTTGGTTCATGATGTTCAACTTCTTTTTGTGCTCTTCAGTGATATGTGATGTGTTATAAACCTCGGTATCCCCACAAACTAAAAATAAGGATCCAAATTTAAGTTAAATTTAGATTGATGAAAAATACGATTTAATTGTTTAACAATATCAAAAGTAATTGACACTGTTGAAATAAAGGTTATAATAATTTGATCATGCAGCTATCAAATTTAAAGTTCAACCTGCGGCACAATAGCCTAATAATTTCTCCATCAAGTCCTTCTTAAAATTTTTGTTATGTACATGCACAGTAGGCAATGCTCATTATTTACTTAGTAATTCAAAGGGCTTTGATCTCAATTGAGTATGAAATTTGCAAAGATTTGTATATTGAATTTACTTCTATATAAGAATAACAAATGTTTTATACACATTTGAATTTATCCACTGAAATACCAGTCAGCGTTACTTCAACTAAGATGTATCTCTCAACACTAAATTGGCCTAACTATTATCAATGGATTTATCAGCCTATTTTGGGAAACACCATTTTTGGGGAATTGGGAATAAATTATCGGCTATTTGATGAAAATGGAAAAAATTTAAATCCTGTATTCAGGGGTAATTCATTTAACATTTCAGCATGAACTCTAATTTGGGCAACCAAACGACAATTAAATATGATCCATCTTCATCATACAAGATCAATTATGAATAAAAGACTAATAAAAGTAAATTGGACTTCAATGAGTGTAAAGCATTTATACAACTTAGGGTAGTACATGTGTGTATGAGATTTCAATTTAGGTCATGTAGTATCTGTTTCTGGAGATTATAAACCTCCTGCAAAAAATTATACCAAGTACACATTTTCTAAAAGTCCTCTTTTAATATGTATCAATGCATTGAAAATATATTTTTCTATCTGAAATAATGCCTAAAGTCCTTACCATTCACTCGCAGGTCAATTGAGTAGGTGGAAATAACTTAATAAATCTATATAATTACATAGTATCATCTTTTTTAGAAAAACGGAGGAAATTCGGATTAAAAGTTGGCGATGTTTTTACAGTGTTTTTAAACATGTGTTATGACTGTAGCTTTGCTAAATGAGTTAAATAGATGAAAATTACAGACAGTCTGACAATTTTACTTTGTGATTTTTCAAGATAATTAAAAATAAAAGCATTGTTCACCAATTGGCAAAAAATACTGCCAAATTGGCAAAAACTGAACTCATTTTCAATTGAAAATGGGGCCGAATTTCGGCCCCTGAGAAGGCACTGATAAATCATTGTTATCTATAGGTGTAACCGTGTCTGCTAGGTCGATCAGGGTTGGGCATAAACTCTCCAATATTACGGTATGAATTTAGCCAATTGAGACATTGCAATTGGAGAAAGGGATCATGCATCCAATATTTTATTCACTTTTTCATGCAGAAAAAGTTCTTTAAGTGTGTGTCATTGCTTTCAGTGAGGAATTACCTTGTTACATGACAGAACCGCCATTTTTGCTTCGCACATGTGTTTATTTACGGTCAACTAAATGTTTGTAAAGGTCTCATATATTTATAAGCGCTTATTCGACTAAGATGCATTCTAAAATTTAAAACCCACCAGTTCAGCTGAGAAAAATCCGGAAAAATATGTCGGAAAAAGTCATTATTTTTATTTTCATGATTGGTGAAAATTAGGGTCGGCGGAATCGTAAACCAATGGAAAAAAAAACTTTGGCCTAAACACTGCAGACTGAAGAGTTCTACTTGTAGGGTAGTTTTATGTAGTTAGAGTGATTTCGCCTTAGAAGTAAAATGGAAGAAAATGTTTTTTTTTCAGTTAATTACATTGTAATAGATTTAAATATTCTTAACATTATATTCGACCAAAAATAAGTAATTGCATGAATTCATTATTTCCATTAATTTTCCCAATGTAAGTTAACAACAGTGATTTCTACATGTTCACAAATAGTCCGTTGTCTTTGAACATTTTTTCTGCAGAAATAAGGCAGGTACCTTATGCTGAAAATGAACTAAATAATCTTAATATGCACATCATTATGTGATATATTTTTCTCCAAGTCCAAAAAGCACTTTTTGTTAGGTGTTTAGAGCTTCCTTACACCACATTTTTATCTACCGATTTCATTTCACAAATTGATTTGCATCTTCCTCAACCCTAGTCCAAAATATCTGTTGTTTTCCAGTTTTTTTTTTACGATTTTGATTTGACGTGCCAGGAAAAGTTTTCCTGCATGGCACGTAAAATACCTAAATTGTGCAAACAGCCTGGAAAACGTAAGATATTTCGTACTACCTCAACCTGTGTGTTTATGGAATAATGTCTAGTATTTTTCAAAATTATGTATGTCTATTGTTACATGCTTTATTTATTTATTGCTCCAAAAACTTAAACCTGCTTAATCTTCCAGAAAACGTAGGTCTGATGCAGCATCTGAAGCAGTTCTGGTAGGTGCTCTAGATGCATCGTCCATGCAAGTTTAATCCAGGTAGTGGTACGGCTTTTATGGAAAGTACTTGCTCCTTACACTTAAACTGGGGGATGCCAATACTGAGGGTATAGTATAAGCTCATCTCCACATTGTGAAGGTGAGCTAAGCTCATCTCCACATTGTGAAGGTGAGCTAAAAATTTAACCCAACTACAAATTAAATAATCCTATATTATATGTAATTATTATACATATATGTATTACACATTCATCCAATGTTATTTTAATCATAACTTTATTGATTTCAAACTTTCATCTTCAAACAACAGAATGCTCTGAGAGAACTAATAAAGGTGAACATAACAAAGGAAAACAATAAGCAGTGTATAAAAGTAGGGGAAATATAACTATTAATAACAAGAAACATTGATCTTTAAACTAGCTAACACACAAAGTCTAAAATGTCTCATACAAAACACACTGAAAAAAAAAAACATCATTCAAAATAATGTTTTTCCTGGTTGGTCATTACTTTAAATAACCACATCAAGGGCAATATGTGCTGAAGTTATTAAATGTATCATGTTTTCAACCACGCATCTATCTTTTAATTGATCAAAGAATTATTAAAACATACAATTATGTCAATTTATAGCCTACAACAAAATTTCTGAATCAAATCTCAATTTGCAATGACAATTTAGAAGAATTAATTGTGAAAGATAAGAGAATTATAAAGATTTCTTATATATAAGAATTTCCAGGTAATTAACTTTCCTAGTTCAATGTTTATAACTGTGTCTGACTGGTAAACTTGCATACTAGATAATAAACACCCTTATTTGAACAAAATATTGGACACATTTAACAAAATTTCAACGAGTAAAAAAAAAGCAAATAATTTGTATTTATTTGACAAATTGTATAAGAAAAAAATACAAAATTTAATTTTTACATATCTAAAAGATTCCAATAAATCTGCTTTTTGAAAATACTAAACAGGTATGAACACAGATGTATATAATAAAAAGAGATGAACTTGTGCACTATAACTGTGCATTGTGACAGCACCAAATCATCAAATTTTCCTGCGAGAATAAAAACAATGAAAAGTGATAAAGTGAGCATTATCAAGGGATGCAACCCTACCCTCTCTCTCTCTCTCTCCCAAAAAAAAATCCAGAAGCTTAGAATAATTGAAGCTATCTATTGTGATTATATTTCTGTCAGCAGTCTTTTAAACTGAGGAAACATATAGTTTTAAAATAAAGAATGTATATTTAATACTACTGACTTTGTGTAACTGTATAAAGTGTTCATTTTCACAGCAGTTTTGTTTTCAGCTTTTTAGACAGAGAATCATGCTGCGATTACTTAACATCCCCAAGCTTTGCTGGTTATTTTTAATCAATATAAAATCTTTCCACTATGAACTAAGGGGCATGTACATGTTTGTACCACAATGAAAAAAACAAAACAAATGATTTTGAAAAAGAAAATAAATATCATCACTTTTAAAATACAACTCCTCGTCCGCTATTATCAAAACAGAACTGCAATTAAAGGGAGATAAAGCTGTAACATGTATAGGAAATTTCCTAGAAACATGGTTTCCACTTGACATCACTTAATAATTTAATCAAATAACTACAATCCTGAGTTCTGATAAGTATACAGGTTTATCATTCTCCATCTTCTGATTTTGAATATTTAGACATAAGTAAAAAAAAAAAAAACACCCTTCCCTGATAATGTGGGATGTATATGTGACTTCTAACAACACAACATACAGGTTAAAAGTACTATTTAAAGATTACACATAGTTCATAAACATTTGATAAAAAATGCTTTTTCGGTTGTATTATAGAGTATTTTAAAACACCTGAATAACATCTTTAGTTTTAATTCTTAGAGAACATTATTGGCACAGAAAAAAATATATACAGCATAAAGGATTTATGAAAATATCATTATAGACGATACTTTGCAGGGAACTAATATTTTTCATCTACATTGCAACTTTTTTTTTTAGACCATACTGCAATTTTACAATTTTATGCCTCTTTCCAATAACAATGTTGCTAAAAATATCACATCCAGGGCTACTACAGTTGTTCCCCATAGAGAGTAAATTCTGGCCAACATTACATACTGATGGCAAGTAGCGAGAAATTGTAATGTTGAGATGATCAGAAAGAATAGCAGAATTACCGCTACCAGGAATTCAATCTTGTCAATTACTTAGTATTATTCCTTTCTGCAGTGTCTTGTATATATAAGTGGAATGTAAAAATCAATAGTTGCATAAAATAAAAACAAAATGTATAATATTATACATAATCATCTTGCATTCTTCATAAAAATAAAAACTTTTGGGACTAGAAATTAATGAGATCAGCTGTTGCTTTGTAGGAAACTGGACTGCCAGGAACGTGCCTGCTCAAATCCATTGATGCATGATTTATAATCCTCCAAGGCCTGGTGAAGTTCCTCCTCTGTGTTCATCACAAATGGACCTGAAAACAAGCATGCATTAAAATTTAACAAACCTTAATCTTGCTCAGAAACAAAAGTTGGCTTGAAGTACACTGTATCTGTTAAATACATGGATGTGGAAATTACCATGGAAATTAGATATCATTGAGATGGTGGCCATCTCAAAGGGCCCCGCTTTCAGCAACGAACATGAAAATGTAAGGTAGTTGAAAAGGGTTTATTTTGAAGAGGAACATTTGTGTACTATTAAGGGATGTGTTGTTTGAGTCTAAAGGGCTTCTATGTCATCCTTGTTATAATAAAAAATGGCACAAAAATCACGAGTGCTCCATACCCTCTATCAAAAAAACGGCACAAAAATCACGAATGTTGCATATCCTCTATGAAATTTGTTGCATATCCTCTATCAAAATATGGAAGGAAGATCACAAATGTTCCGTACCCTAAGTCAATTGGTAAAGTTTGAGGCTGACTGGACTTAAGGGAAAGAAATTATGCACCGAACAAAGATTTTAAACAGAGAGGCTATTTTTGACCTTGACCAAGAAACTTCATTCAAGGTCACTGCACATCCATTGACCAGTGGCACTCTGTGAGTGAAGTATGAGCCACATTGGACCAAGGGGAGAGAAGATATGCTCCGGATAAGGATTTTTCATATAATTCTGCTATGATCTTAACCTTAGACCTAGAAACATGGTTCAAGGTCACTGCACACCCTTTACCCAAAGGAACTCTGTGGGTGAAATATGAGCCAGATTGGGCCAATGAGAGAGAAAATATGCTCCAGACAAGAATTTAAACAGAGAGACTATTTTTGACCTTGACCCTTGACCTAGAAACTTCGTTCAAGGTCACTGCATATCCATTGACCAGTTGCACTCTGTGAGTGAAGTATGAGCCAAATTGGATCAACAGGAGAGAAGATATGCTCCGGACAAGGATTTTTCATATAATTCTGCTATGACCTTATCCTTAGACCTGGAAACATGGTTCAAGGTCACTGCACACCCTTTATCCAAGGACACTCTGTGGGTGAAGTATGAGCCAGATTGGGCCAAGGAGAGAGAGAAGATATGCTCCGGACAAGAGATCTTGGACGGACGGAAGGACAGACGGACGGATGGACAGACTGATCACTATACGGTGCCCGCAGAGCGGGGACCTAATTATTCATAATTACCTATTGCAAATGCCTATAACTTATAAAAAAAAACTTATGAGAAGAATTGCATAAAAAAGTTCTTTTTGTGAGAACTTGACTTGATTCTGACAATTAGCAATTTTTTGTAATTCTCAAAGCAGAGAGAAAACAAGCATGTGAGGACTTGTCACCAGCTGGTTCAACAGGTGAGAAAACCAACCTTGTTGAGCCACAGGTTCATTTAATGGTTGACCTGCCAGGAGAATAAAACTGCACGGATCAGACCACTGGAAAGGAAGAAGTCATTCATTAATGTATCACAAGCACCAATATAATTGATATCCATGTACCAGTATCAGAATTTTTTTCAAATGAACAACCCCCCCCCCCTCCCTTTTTGGGCCAAGTTGACAAGTTACCACAGAGTTATCAGAATACTGTAGTACTTGATTTTGAGCCATTACTCATGTTTACCACCTAGTTATCAGAATAAATGAATAAATGGTTTTGAGCTACCACAAAAGTTACAACTGAGTTATGAGAATACCCGGTTTTGAGCTTTGTACAACACAGGTTACCATTAAGATATCAGTTTAAATGGATTTGAGCTACACGTTACCACCGAGTTATCTGAACACCTGCAGGCATGCTTATGAAGCTGTCTTAGGACTAAGACATCTCTTAAGATGAACTTACGACATATCTTAGTCTTAAAGTGAGGCCAACGAAGCTATCCTATCTTATGAGACTTCCTAATTTAAACCCTTAACTTTTTATCTTAATATCAACTTCTTCAAACCTTGTAAACCTTTTCATGTGTGTGTGAGGGAGGTGTGTGTGGGGGGGGGGGGGGGGGGAGGGGGTGGAAGTGGGGGGTTAAGTCACTTGTCTTTACAAATATACAGAACATGTTCATATAAATTACTTTCCTTGCCATTTTAACCAAGGGTCCATCTTTTCTGTATACTGTATACTTTTAATAATTCCAAAAATCCCAGGGGACTGAAACAAATTACCCCCACCACCCATTACATATGCACATACATAATTATAATGGAAGATGGACCTAGGAACATGTAATATTTGTTTTACAAATAAAGAAAGAGAGAGAACTGCTTAGAACGGAATTTATGACATCTTAACTTAATATTAATTAAAGGTATTCCTAAGATACTTTTGTTTTACACCCTAAGACAAGTCTTAGAATAGTCCTAAGATATGTCCTAAGTAATATCCTAAGACACGTCTTAAGACGCATCTTAAGGAATTTTTATAAGCATGTCTGCTGGTTTTGAGCTAGCACACAAGTTACCACTGAGTGAGTTATCAAAATTCCTATATACCGGTAGTTTTGAGCTACCATACAATTAAGATACTACTGGGTTTCAAAATACCTGGTTTTGAACTACCACACAAGATACCACTGAGTGAGTTATCAAAATTCCTATATAGTTTTGAGCTACCACACAAGTTACCACTGAGTGAGTTATCAAATTCCTGTGGTTTTGAGCTACCATACAATTAAGATACTACTGGGTTTCAAAATACCTGGTTTTGAGCTACCACACAAGTTACCACTGAGTGAGTTATCAAAATTCCTTTGGTTTTGAGCTAATATACCATTAAAATACCACTGGGTTTCAAAATACCTGGTTTTGAGCTACCACACAAGTAACCACTGAGTGAGTTATCAAAATTCCTGTGGTTTTGAGCTACTAAACAATTAAGATACCAGTGGGTTTCAAAATACCTGGTTTTGAGCTACCATGCAAGTTACCACTGAGTGATTTATCAAAATTCCTGTGGCACTGAGCTACCATACAATTAAGATACCACTGGGTTTCAAAATACCTGGTTTTGAGCTACCACACAAGTTACCACTGAGCGAGTTATCAAAATTCCTATTGTTTTGAGCTACCATACAATTAAGATACTACTGGGTTTCAAAATACCTGGTTTTGAGCTATCACACAGTCTCCTTCAGCATTTAAGATGGCAGTCTGGGTTGGATTTACTAGTTTTTCTTTGCTCTCTGGACCTAAAGTTAGAGCAAATAATTTTTTCAATAAATCATATCATTTAAATAATGATTTTAAGACCATGTGCATCAAAAATGATAAAATTCTGAAACAAACAACAGATCAATGCATGAATCATTATATGTTTGGCTTTGAAATTCATAATACATACCAAATAATGCCTTGCCAGAGAGGACATGAATAAATGCATTCCAGCCTTTGGGAATTGGCTGACTTAATTTAGTGCCTTCATTCATTGTAAAATGTAAATAAAGAGTTGGAGTCCTGGTCCTAATCTTGGACTGCAACGAAGAAAAGGAGTTCACAATTAATTCTAAAAATTATTAGCTTTAGTCTCTAGCATTTTAAATAGGTGCCTTAATTTTAAAGTTGATTATGTTGTAAATTCACTGAATTTCAATTTCAAGAATTCAAATTTCACATTTCAACTTCCAAAAAAAAAAAAAAAAAAATCATGGGTGTTTACTTTTATACCTTGATATCACAGCATTTTTTTTCAAAATGCAGTAATCACGTAAACAAACTTAAAGTGAAAAACTTCTTCGTTAAATAAAGTATCTGTACATTAATTATGGACTAAAACTGTGGAGACAAGATTTATCAAAATCTGACTTTCTAAAATCATACTTCCTCACAATGAAGTTTTGCAATAAAATGTTCCAACAGTACTATGACCCCTAGAGAAAGTTTACCTTGACACCAAATGCCTCTCCAGCAATGACCTTGACCTCTATGCCTTCTTTGGATGCCCTTGGGATATCATCTGCAAGCATCTCTTGACATGATGGTTCCTGCATTTTCTGTTCTTTGGCAAGATTAATCCACAGCTGTAGCCCATGAGCTTTTTCCTCGCCATAAGACCACTCACAGTGTACAATTCCACGTCCAGCAGTCAGCCACTAAAGTCAGTAATAGATGCAACATTGCATTCAATGTCATAAAATATAACACACATTATGATTCAAAAACTGTTAAAATGTCACTTAAATCTGAAGAGATATGCCATAAAGGTATCCATCTGACAATCTTAGCCAATAGGCATAAAGAACAATGAATGCAGCATCTGATTTGGGTGAGAAGTTTTAACATTGTGTTTAATAATTTATCTAAAAACTGGTTGAGATTTCATCAAGTGATTAAATGTGAAGCACTGCTTTTTTTTCTCCATCTTGATTCCCAGAGATTTATTATCTGTCCTGTTCATTTGCATTAACACCCCCCCCTCCTCCCTTTTCCTTTCCAGATAACATGAAGATTAGTTTACACAGGATTTTACATAAATAGCTACCTGAACATCCCCAGTCTTTAGCTTTCCTTTATTTCCTAAAAAATCCTCATGCTGACCAGTGCCTTTTAAAATATAGGAAACCTACAACACAATATACGGTGCATATCATATACTGCCTGATATGTCAGTTTCTTATTTAAAAAAAAAAATCCTGATATGGTTTGTGAGGGATTTTCCCTGTCTTTGATATCATCTACCTTCTGCTTTGAACATGTTGAAGGACTTTAGTTTATATTCATAGTCAGTAATACATGATTAAAATTAACTTATGAAAAATTAAAAAAAAAAACTATAACAATTAAGTCACTCAGTATGATTTCATACTGGTATTTTTCATTAGAATAGAATTTACACTGCAGTACATGTACCACTTTGAGATTTGTTACATATTTTAAAAATCATATGCCCAAAATTGTCCCTGATAAAATACACAATAAAATAAACACTAGTCTTTCATTTGACATCAAGTGACTCACCAGTTCAAAGCCTCTGTGAGGATGGTCAGGGAAACCAGTGGGGGGATTTACCGTAAACTCGTCCAACATAAGAAATGGGTCAACAATGTCAGACTAAAAACACAATGTTATTATGATCTCATTTGTTAGTGTTTAACATTATCCACTAAAAAAAACAAAATAAAACTGTCAATTATGTTTGACTGATCACAAAAAATACATTGTGCTTTATAGTAAACAGTAAATATCAAAATTAAACACAAAACAATGCTCAGAAGTACGAGCTCAGATCAACTATATCTTTTGAATATAAAAATAATCATGATAAATATGTATGCAATATACGTGTATAAAAATCCACCAGATGGGAAACACAGGATAAGGGTAGCCTTACCACATCGTCCCCGAGGCACCGCTTGATGGTGGTTCCATCTCCCTCTCCTTCTGACTGCTCTACGCTCTCCGTTACCTTCCGCACGCTTCGAGATGTCATCACTTAATTACTCTATATGAATGAATATTCTGCTTATAGATTACATACCCTAAGATGTATCATTCACAATACTGCACTGTGAGTCATTACTAAAAAATCTGTCATCACATTAAATTAAATACTCCAGTAACAATATAAATTGTGTACACATCAATAGGATATAGGAACTGATAGGTCCTCCTCTATAATACAAATGTACTGACATTACCCCTGTTTATGTTTTGATTAAAGGACAGTACACTGAACTGTACAGCTATTTATCTAATTCTCAAATCAGTGACAAAAATAAAGTCTAAAGTGTAAAATACTGGGACAAAACATTTCTAAAAGAGATTCTTTACCATTATAGCAGCATCTGTCTGCAATGATTATTTTTTATGACTGATAAACAATATAACAGTATCTAAATATTACAGGCTTCTCTCAGTGACTCATATTTCCTGTTTTTAACAATCTTGAAGTGTGCATCATACATGATCCTTAAAAAGGAATGTTTATTTATATATTCTTTCTCTAAATGCACAGTGTTTAGATTTTGTTTTTTTTAACATCTTTAATATCTCTGCCTATATTGAACTCTCTAAAAAAAAAAAAAAGAAAAAAGGGAGAGATGCTTGTGATGAACATGTATGTAAATTTCAGATTCATAATGCATGCTGATTTTGATTAATTACTTGGATCTTTATGCTTAGTTGGCAGTATTTCAGACATGTGGATTTTGAACTTTGGTGTCATTTTCCTGTAAGTGAAATCAGCTAGAGTCCAGACATCAATATAAAACAAAATAAAATATATACATGTACTTGTGTAGCAGGAAAAACTGAAATTTTTTTTTTAATAAATAATAAAAATAAAAAAAAAATTTACCAAGATTGTCAATACCATTCGATTATCCATCAAGGAAAAAAATGTAGTTAACTCAAATGGTTGAGATATATTAATCGCAATCCTTATTTAAATAAAAGAGGGGAGAAAAATAACAACCCTTCTTCATGTAATTATGTTTAAACAGGTATAAAGATAATATACTGATGCAAAGCAGCAAAGTGGCCAAAACTTTCCATGTGGGGATCAGGATAGATAATCTACATGTATGTCAGTGGACAATATCTGCAGTTGATTGCCGCATGTTGAGATAGATGGACATCGCATCAAATGTGAAGTGTCAAAAAAAAAAAAATACCAGTGTGTCATTCACGTGTATCAAAATTTTCTACCAACTTTTCTCCTATTTTTTTCTTTCTTTTTTTTTTGAATACTTTATTTATCACACTCATGAATTATATTATCTGATGAAAAATAATAATAATTAAAAAAAAAGAAACTTAATAATAGAAACAAATTAAATAATAAAGATTACAATTTTTAAAATCTTAGATATTCATAACTTTTACATATCTTATCAATAAGGAATTATTCCAATCCCTCCAAATAATATAATTTGATGACTGTCTTTGTCCATCTAGTAATATTCAATACACTTAAAACTGTTTTCCATTTGAAGAACAAATTCCAGTTATATCTCATCTTTACGGTATGCATAAATCGCAAAGGTGAAAGATCACGAAAAAAAAAGAGCATTGAAAACAGTATTGAAAATTGTAAACTATTTAATATAGTTGACCATATTGAGCTCAGTGGCTAATACATATAGCTGGTGAAAATGAAGCTGCATTTAATCAGATCTCTTAAGACTGACATCAACAGTTATTCAAATATTTTGAGGTGGTAACAAGCACTTATATTTTGAAACAGTTCCCTAAAATGGATTGCCACTGGTGACAGATGCATAAAAATCAATTTAACATGGATAATGAATGATTGAACACTGCATTGGAAAAATGGTGTAGGGATAACAAAGGCAATGACACAATTCTTGGAAGTTTGAATATTTTTTCCCCATGTTTCATTTAAGTCAGGTAAACAATTTGTATATTTCAGATAAGGACAACATTCTTTCTTTCAACTAAGAAAACTTTTAAGAGGCCCAGTTTAAAGACTATTTCTACCTATAGCTATTAATAGCGACCTACATGATTTATATCTACTGACAGTATTTACTTCTATCTACTTTTTACCTGTCTTTAAAATAGAAATAAAAAATAATTGAGACACATCTTTAAAAGGTCAGACATGTTGTTTATCATGTTGTGCACTTGCTCCGCATGAGCAGTCTAGACGAACTCCAAAAACGGCGTGAACTCTGAAAACGAAGTCTTTGACTCCATCATGCATTGCGGCAAAATGGTGTCAGATGTAAACAAACGATGGATTGTCGTTCGCTTTCTTCAAACATATGCCCAAATAATGGTTGTACTTAATGCATTTTAACTTTATTTTAATTTTTTTTGAATGGATAGTTACATTTATTACCGGTATATTATTTTGTGGATATTGACTTATTTATCGCTTCAAACTCTTGCATATTAGTAATTTGGATATACGACATCATATTCAATACTGCTGGTAAGAATTATTTTCTTATTTGATTTATTGTCTCCTTGATTTAAATTTTATGTCGTTCCTTCAATAAAGGTGTTTTTATTTGGTTTTGAAGACACCCAGCTTGTATTTTTATTACAATCAGAAATGCGTATTTTTCACCACGGAACAGAGATATTCACAGGTTCATTTTTAGAAGACATGTTGTGACCTTAATTTCTAGAAGAGTGGTTTTTAAAGTTTTCATATTGATAGATAATAGTTTTTAAAAAGTTTTCATAATAATATATATTCGTGTGTGATAAAAAAAATCGTTAAATATCGATGGTAAGAACTTACGTGTTAAATTCAGATGTCGTACACAAATAAAACACCGGAATGCTAATTTATGTGTAAAATTTACTCAAGTTTTTAACAGTTACAATATATATTGTCCCATTTTGCTTATATATCCCTTTTATTATGCATATTTACTTCTCAAACGTATCATTTTCTCTGTAATTGATCCAACTTCAAACGTGAACTCTGAAAGTAAATATCTCCTTTTTTGCAAATAAAATTAAAAATCTGACAAATACGATCTCTTTTGAAGTCTTTTATTTAGCATTTCTGAGTACTGGCATAATTGCCATACTTTCCAAAACTTTGCACAGACAGTTTTTGTTGACAGATCATTTTTGCCGAAAAATCGTCATTTTTTGTGTGTGTGTGCATGCATGGACTCTATTTTCAGAGTCTTTTTCAGTCTCAATTTCTTACTTCCGGAAACGCTGTTTTTGGAGTTCGTCTAGACTGATGAAGGATTGTCCTGAATCCTTTTATCTAAAAATGCATGAAGGCAAGTTTTAAAATTAATACAGAGTTGTAAGATGTTTTAGGTTTCTTACCACTTAGCTTTGAACTTAAGCTTCAAGAAAAAATGAAACTGAATGTATAGTTATTGATGCATAATTGGGAAGTTGAAAAGTAATCATTTTTTAACCAAATTTTTGTCGTCTTTATGTTGTCAGTGTGATAATACCGGTAGATTGTATATTAAAGAAATTTGGTACTCATCAATGATCATATTCCGACATACCTGTGATTGGCCTCAACATGCACATAAATGCAAAAAGAAGGTAAAAAAATAGCTACCTGGAGTAGAATTAAATTCCTACTCCTAGGTAAACTATAAATAGCTACGTAGATAGAAAAAGTCTGGACCTGTTTAATAGCGAGCGCAGCGAGCGGCGCCGCTCGTCACCGCGAGCTCCAACGACAACACCTGGGCGAAGAGAAAATTCGGACTACTGCACATTCATTCAATAGAATTTTTTTCCGCAGTAATTCTGACCCTCAATGCATCGCTTCTTGTTCTCGCTGCTAACTTCATTCACGTGGTAACAACAACTAAAATTTCACAAAAAATAAACTCACCTTAATTTAATGGATATTGCATGCAGATAGTAGATTAAACGTTCTTTGTTAAAATATGTGCACTTTTTAAACTTTGTTTATGGAAATGCAGCTAACATACGTCATGTGACGTCACAGTCTAGACGTTCCAAATGTCTCGTGCGGTTTGACGAGGCGGATCTTAAAATGAAGTGAACAATGCGCTCGCCCCAACATATATGGCAAGAATTTAGTGCTGATTTTCACCTATGTTCAATTGTAACCAGTAACACAGGTTACATAGCCTTTTCACTTGGGAGCATTTTCTCATTTATTCAGTTTTTCATTGGTTACACTGGTTACAAAGGTTACAGTGGTTACACTGGTTACAGTGGTTACAAAGTGATTAGTTCTTATCTTCATTTGTAACCAGTAACACAGCTTCTGATGAACAGGTCAGCATTTTTCATTTATTCAGTTATTAATTGGTTACACTGGTTACAATGGTTACAGTGGTTACATCTGTATCTACAAGTTCCCATTTGGATTTTATATGATTTGTCACCAAAAGAATATAGTTGTAACCAGTGTAACCTAAAAATAAAGACCCCTTTCAGTTTCAGATGATCTGTAACCATTGTAACCGATTGTCACCAAAAGAATATAGTTGTAACCAGTGTAACCTAAAAATAAAGACCCCTTTCAGTTTCAGATGATCTGTAACCATTGTAACCGATTGTCACCAAAGGAATATAGTTGTAACCAGTGTAACCTAAAAATAAAGACCCCTTTCAGTTTCAGATGATCTGTAACCATTGTAACCGATTGTCACCAAAGGAATATAGTTGTAACCAGTGTAACCTAAAAATAAAGACCCCTTTTGGTTTTAGATGATCTGTAACCATTGTAACCGATTATCACCAATGGAATATAGTTGTAACCTGTGTAACCTAAAAATTTTAAAACCCCTTTTGGATTTAAATGACCACCATCTTTGAGAGATATATGTAACCTTTGTTACTGGATTAAATAGTCTTGTAACAGGGTTACAATTGAACATAGGTGAAAGTCAGCACCAATTTCTTGTGGTGTCGGGTGGTTACGTTCCGATTCCGTGTTCGACCCGCGTGGTTACGACCCAAGTGGTTTCGACCTACACTCATGTCTGTTCTGTTCTGTCATTACCTGAGTACAGGGGTATACACTGTGCGGTAAACAAGAGGCCCACGGGCCTTATAGGTCACCTGAGTATCATGCAACAACTTCGCCACAATGGATTCATGTTTTAAACCAGAGGCCATGAAATTCACAATTTCGAAAGAGGCACACTTGCTCATCATAATTTTACATTGAGTAAGCTTACTTAATACCCAGAAAGAGAGCAGAGGATTATCAATGAATTAATGTAATCATTAGAGCCCTGCCCTAACACCAGAACCATGATGCAGGGGCCATAAAATTCACAATTTTGGAAGAGGCATCCTTACATATCATAACAATACTCTTAGTTCATCAGCTTAATACCCAGGAGAAAAGAAGAAGATTTTCAAAGAATTATTGCATTTTTACTATGTAATCATTAGAGCCCCACCCTAACACCAGAACCCCTGACCCAGGGGCCATGAAATTCATAATTTTGGAAGAGGCACCTTTACTCATCATAACTATGCATCAGTTTGTTTGTTAAATACCCAGGATCAAAGAAAAAGATTTTTAAAGAAATAATGCATTATCACTATATATTCAACAGAGCCCCACCCTAACCCCAGAACCCCTGACCTAGGGGCCATGAATTTCACAATATTGGAACAGGCACCCTTACATATCATAACTATACTCTTAGTTCATCGGCTTATTACCCAGGAGAAAAGGAGAAGATTGTCAAAGAATTATTGCATTTTTACTATGTAATCATTAGAGCCCCGCCCTAAAACCAGAACCCCTGACCAGGGGGCCATGAAATTCACAACATAGGAATAGGCACCCTTATTCATCATAACTATGCCTTCAGTTTGTTTGCCCTGGATCAGAGAAGATTTTTAAAAGAAATAATGCATTTTCACTATACATGTATATTCAACAGAACGCTGCCCTATCACCAGAACCCCTGACCCTGGGGCCATGAAATTCACAATTTTGGAAGAGGCACCTTTCATCATCATAACTATGTATTTATTTTGTTTTCATAATATCCAAGAGCACAGAAGAAGCTTTTTAAAGAAATAATGCATTATTACTATATATTCAACAGAGCCCCACCCTAACACCAGAACCCCTGACCCTTGGGCCACGAAATTCACAATTTTGGAAGAGGCACTCTTTCTCATCATAACTATGTACTTAGTTCATCGGCTTAGTACCCAGGAGCAGAGGAGAAGATTTTTGAATAATTAATGCATTTTCACTATATAATCATTAGATACCTGCCCTAACACCAGAACCCCTGACCCAGGGGCCATGAAATTCACAATTTTAGAAGAGACACCTTTCATCATCATAACTATGCATATTGTTTGTTTCCTAAATACCGAAGAGCAGAGGAGAAGATTTTTTAAGAATAATGCTTTTCACTACATATTCAACAGAGCCCCACCCTAGCACCAGAACCCCTGACCCTGGGGCCATAAATTTCTCAATTTAGGTAGAGGGCTCAATGCTTATTACATTCATGCCAACAGTTTGCCTGCTTGATGCCCAGGAGTAAAGAAGAAGATTTTTAAAGATTGCATTAATTCTGATGGTTTTAGCCCCACCCCTCAGGCCCCAGGGGGGTAGGGGTCATGAATTTCACAATTTTTACTCCCTTCACATATAGATGCTATGTGCCAAATTTGGTTGAAATTGGTTCAGTGGTTCCAGAGAAGAAGCTGAAAATGTTCAAATGTTAACGCACGACGGACGACGCACGCCGACGGACGAAAACAGATAGCAATAGGTCACCTGAGTAAACTCAGGTGACCTAACAAATGGATATTCGGTAGCTGCATATTGTATGGCTTCAGAGATGTACATGTCAGAAGGTCGTTGTTTCCGTATGTGTATTCAACATGCAGTCAGATATGGTTTCCTAATATTTTTTTTCTACTATCGCGGAACAAGGAAGTTGATAAATTTGATTTAGTAATGAATTATATTTGAACAGTTTTCCATAAAAATTAATCAAATACTTCTTCAAATGCACCGTGATCACATATGCACTGTCTAAACAATGTATGTTTCTCCAAATTTAACTACATACGATAATTATCACTATTTAAATGATTGAAATATATGTGGACGATATAAAAAAAATGTAGATGAAAAAATAAAAATATAAAACTGTTGAAAGTGTTAATTAATTTCGTTCCGAAGCAATTAATTGTTAATTGCTTTGGAACGAAACCACTTGGGTCGAACATGAATTCGTGTCGAAACCACGCGGGTCGAACAAGTAATCGGAACGTAACCACCCGCATTCATACGCCCCAACGGTCGCACCGTCAACATATTAGATTTTCCTAATAAAAACTGAAATGTTGAGTTTGAAGCGAGCTACCATGGAATTTTGGCGGTTTGCTAAGTCCCTTCTCCTCTATTTTAGGAATACTTGTCTTTTCTTTACTCAGATTATGCCAAAATCCGCCTGTGATATGAGCAGCTTACTGAGTTATTCAGTTTCTTGCTTTTTCCCGTCTTCAAAATTTTTACCTGAATTTGTCAAAATTATAAGCGCCAATGTTCGAGCATTTTTCTCCTTATTCAAAGTTTTTGAGGGAGCAAAAGATTTCTCTCAAAAGAATTGCTGCATTCGATCAATTTCAAATTTCTGTTTAGAATTGCGAATTGTTGTCTTCGATCTCGAGGCGGAAGTGATACCATATTAATCTCTAAATTGAAGAGTTCTATTTCATGGCCACGGGCGACAACGTTCACCTGATTCCACTCGCGTTGACAAACATCATTTTGCAGCGGCAATGATTTTTCATGATGTGATCCTGAAATGAAATTCTGAAAATTGAAGCGGATTTGTCAATTTGAAAAATGTTTTACGATTTTAATATTGTTGGGGCGAGCGCAGTTGAATACCTTCAAAAACTTTTACTTAGCCTACAATCTTAACTTTGATCTCCGCCTCAATACTCACATCCCGTTCCCTTTCCGACCGGTGCTTAATCAACCTCGTTCGGGGTGTTTTTCCGAGCTTACCGGAAACACCCGAGAAGATGCGATTGATCTTTCATATACATGTAAATTGTTAGGCTACTGAATTGTCTACGGATTTTTCGGAGAATTCTCATCTTGAGGTGGAGGGGGGGGGGGGGGCTCTGAAAATCATGACAAGGCATACACAGCGGGTGTGATCAGTTGACAGGGGATGCTTACTCCTCCGTGTCACCTGATCCTACCTCTAATTTCAGAGGCCCGTTTTGGCTTTGCTCATTAAATGTATTATATGATTCAATGCATGATTTTAAGAATGGTACAAACTCATTAAACAAATCACGTCTTTTTTCTTTTGCTAAAGTAATAGATGTAGCCAAACGCAGCGAGAGAAGCGGGGTAAAAATAAACACAACCAACTGTAAAAAAAAAAACAACAAAAAACAAAAAACAAATATCAGGCACACAGCATTGGTTTTGATAAAAGGGACATTATAAGGGGAATAAATGACACCTGAAAAAAAATCTTTAACGCCCCCCCCCCCCCTCCACCTCAAGATGAGAATTCTCCGAACTCTATATATTATTTGAGGGCTAGGCAGTGGCGTATATTCCTTTCTGCTAATGTGTAGGCTAATGTGAAGTCACAGTTTTCACCTGAAACGCGAATTTCGGGTAGGCAAGGAGGGCATCGCTCACCCAATCGCAACTTCTCGGGCCTTTCCGACTAGCGGAAAAACAACCTCGAATGTATTACGTAGACGCCATGACAGCCCCCCTTTTAACAAACTTTGAACTAAATGTGGGAAGACCTCTTATCTGTGGAGTATAAAGTTAAACTTTACTGAATTTAAAGATATTACCCAAAATATACTATACAAGGGACTCCAAACTCCGTCTATCCTATAGTTTAATAAATAGGAAGTTGAATAAATTTTTAACATCCGGTGATGTTAATATATTCGAGGTTGTTTTTCCTACCTCTGATGGAAAGACCCGAGATGATGCGATTGATCGCTCACCCTCAATGGAGGGTGAGGGGTCGGAGATCAACGTAAAAGTTGGATAGGCATAAAAGTGTGGATTGCTAAAAATACTTTTATTACATTTGATGAAAAAATAGTCTAGTAAACTGGTAAAAAATATGATTTATGATCAACTTTCCCCCATTTTCAACCAAATACATGTATAAATGTATAATATTTTTTACATCAAGAAAATGATGTGTAGGCTACAGCCTTTTTGCCTATATGGAATATACGCCATTGTTAGGGTCAATTAATATAGGAGAGGTTTTTTAAAAAATGTTTCAAAAATGGGGGGGGGGGGGCAGACTTTCAATAAATATTTTCAAATTAAATTAAAAGTAAAAAAAAAAAAAACGTCCAGAAAAAGGGGTGGGTTGGACTAATTTTATGTTAGAGTTATGTCTACCCGTTCCATTATTGTAGGAGGGATTTCTTTATTATAATGTATCAAAAGTGAAGGGGTGGGGGCAATCAGACTTCCATTGAACATTTTCAAACTAGATTAATAGTAAATATTTATACGTTCGGAAAAAAATACGGGGGGGGGGGGGGGCAATGATCACTGTTCTTTATCTTTACATTTCATATACAGATTTCAGTTTGAATTTCCACTGTTCTTACTCATTTGTCGCGCCGCTCGCTATTAGATATCAAGAAAATGAAGAAATAACATTTTTAAAAGCAAAATCCCATTCCTTTTGTATGAAACGCAACATGTTTGGTCAGAGTTATCGAAATAATCAGAAAGTTTTTCTTAGATTCAGGAACATTTTTTTTTAACTTACACTCGACAGAACGTCTCCATTTCAACAGGACAGACAGAAATTTGCAAGATTGACACTCATTTCATGTGTTCACTTTTTTAAAAAAGCGTTATACCAGAACTTAAAAAAATGACTAAAATTAAATACTGCACAAAAAGGGGTTAAGTATCTCTCCTGTTTTGAAATACTAGTGATCTTATTTTCATAATTTTCCATTAATTAAATGGAAAAAATGTGATTTATTATAAATTGCCGTGATCAAATTTCATTTCAAATTTTCCACCAAAATCTTCAAAATATCTTCAGTTTTGATGATTATATTTCTGTCCTTACTGTTAGTAACTCACATTGTATGGGAATTGATACAAAAGACAAAAGTTTAAACTAAGTTATGCTTAGCCATCTATTTCAAATTTAACATCTTCTATGGCATTTTCGAAATGTTGTAGGATAGGAGTACAAATGCATACATACACTAGTAGCTGTGATTGCATTTCACCTTAAATTTTACAATTTACAACACTATAGTTTAGGTAGACTATGTTTTGTATATATACAGGTAGTATGAAAGTCACATAAATTTCTGTTTTAAAGTTGTAACAAACTTTGCTTAAATATCTTTTAATGTAAGAAATTAGCATTATCATTAACATCTATGCTGGTAACAAGACAACTGGAAAACTGTCCTAATTAACTTTTTTTTTCAAGCCTAGATCTTGCATGTCCATCAGATGGAGGTTCACTTTTATTGATATAACTTGAAAAAAAAATTCTCAAGACTAAAGAGTTAAAGCATTGCCAGTGAAGAGAGAGAGAGAGAGAGAGAGAGAGGGTGGTTGGGTAGATAGGTTCATGTTTTTTTCAGATTATTAAATGGAGCTTATAGTGTATGTAAGAAGGTTACAAAAAGAACAGCTTGTATTATAATACACTAGGCTTGCGTCCGCCAATTGACCCCACTTAAACTGCCAAATGTTAATTTATAATTATCTAATACTGAGATTACGAATTCCCATACCATTCAACACGATTACCTCAACCTAAAAACTTATTTTTTTTCGATGTTGTCTCTATTAGCTGTGAAAAATGCGCAAAATATTTTTAAATGCTTCCAATCAGATAAAAAAAAAAAGCAGACACATTGATATGTGACGTCAGATTTATTTATCTTGGTCTCGTGTGTACAGATTTTTAAAATAATCAATGACTTGAAACATAAATTCTTGATCTACAGGTTCCTTTCATCACGCGTCTTGACTTGTACCCTTTGGAGGGTTTTAAAACTCTAGTTAAGGCGATGCGCCACGGGGTGACTCGAGTATGCACGATATTTTGTTACATGGATTGCCTTTTGCGATGTTTTTGAAAATTTAAATAGATACAACCATGGTAGCAACTACACCCATGATGTTAAGTTGATAGAAGTATGTGATTGTTCAAAAAGGATTTAAAGAACCAGCTTTCTTCACCTTAAATGGGCCCTCGGATTTTATCACGTCCATGGTTTAAAACGCAAAATCATTTGAGCTGCGATTAATTGATCAATACATTCCCCTAGTGCTAACGTTAGTAATGAATGCGTAAGGAGTTAGTTACTTTTTCGGAATAAGATGGGGGACCCATCAGAAGTTTCTTCTGATCCGCTTATGTGTGGGCTGTGTCATAAGAGATACAACGATCCAAGAATCCTGGACTGTTTCCACACCTTTTGTTGTGAGTGCTTGGAGAAACATACACATAATGCTCATTCCAAGGTTACCTTCCCGTGCCCGATATGCCATCTGGAAATCACCATTCCGAAAACTGGAATCAAAGGACTCAAACAAAATTATTACGTCAGGGCTATATTGGCAAGTGCCACTTATTCAACAAATTGTAAATGTGACACGTGCAAAGAAAACGAGCAACAAGCACATTCCAGATGTCTTGAGTGTAACAGTAATTTTTGCAAGCCTTGCAATACCCGCCACATGAAAGCAAATGAGACACGTGACCATCATGTGATAGAACTGTCACCACAAGAGGCAAAAAGCATTACTAAACTAACTCATCGGTCATTTTGTGAAAAACATAAAGAAGAAACAGTTTACTATTGTATTTTGTGCGAAACCCCGATCTGCAAGGACTGCGTCACAAAAGTGTCCGAACACAAGGGACACCGATATAAAAACATCGTTGAAGGGGCAAAGGAGAAAAGAAGCAAAGTGAAACCTATGATACAGAGCATGCACGAATACCTGCCATGTTTACAGGACTACCTCAATGAACTGCACTCAACCAAAAAGCTTCTGGCTGATTACGCCGAGGAAACTGTTAACGAGATCAAAAGTCGTTGCAAATACCTTCAACAAGAACTACAGAAAATCTGCAACTCGTTGGTGGAGGGAGTGGAAGGAAAATTAAAGACCGAATCCAATCGCATAGAAACACATGCTAAAACTATCGAGAATACTCTTCGGTCTGTCTCCACCATTACTAAGTCGGCGGAGGAGGCGATAAACCTTGGGAGCGACAGCGAGGTGGTGTTGATGTGTCAGAAGTTACAGAATAGGTTTAAGCACGCAGACAAAGAGATACCTCAGGTTGGCTTACATCCTGCCGTGAGCAGCAACTTCCATGTTGGAGAATCCCATGGCTCAAATTTGGAGGAGATGTTTGGGTCATGTGACACCACGGAAATTAAGCTGCCTATGTTGCCTATCCCCTGGGGTCTCCGAATAGCCTTAAATTTTGATGTTCAACTGATGTACAACTTCAAGGTTGCCAACCACATTGATACTATACATGCAATAGCTCCACTCTCAGAGAAGGAAGCTTGGATTTGTCACGGATGGGGGACCCAAGAAATGAACCTTTACTCAAGAGAGGGCGAGAAACTTAGGACGGTCAAATTGGATATTCAGATTGACGACATCCTCACAAAGCCAAACGGCGACATCTTAGTCTCTAGCTACGACGACAAAAAGATCATAAAGCTAGATGGAGACCTAAAGCAGACCGATTTCGTGCATCTGGACTTGTACCCAGGGGGAATGACGTATACCAAGCGGAACGAGCTGCTTGTCTGTGCAGTGGACAGTTACGTCACAACAAGGAATTCCAGATCTAGGCGAATGATCATTCGAATCAGCGAGGCGGGAAAAATTATAGATATGATTGAAGACGATGGATTTACCGCCATCTTTACCGCACCTTATCGTCTGCATGAGAACATGCTGGGAGATATTGTTGTATCCGATCGAGAAGAAGCTGAGGTTCACACGACAACGATCACCCTGGACGGGTTTGTCAAGAATAAATATACGGGACAGAAAGACTACAGAGTGAAGAAACCATTTAATCCCTTCGGAATTGTCTCCGACAAACACGGTCACGTACTGGTTGCTGACTGGAGTAACCACGCAATCCATTTACTGGATTTGAGTGGACAGTTCATTGGATTTCTGATTACGGAGAATTATGGAATTCGGGGTCCCAACGCGCTTGCATTGGACAAAGAGGGGTATCTCTGGATAGGGGACACAAAATCCACTGTGTGGATATTCAAATACTCTAGACGTGTGGAAAACAATACATGATCTACTTATGACAGGACTGGGACACAAAATCCACTGTGTGAATATTCAAATACTCTTTAGGTTTGGAAATTAATACTTGATCCTCTCGATTTATGGTAGAAATATCCTTGAAAATCCATATTATGGATATTCAAATATTTCAGACGTGTTGAAAACAATACATGATCCACCGAAGACTGAATAAGGGATATCTGAAGTTTGGATGTTCAAATACTGCTGGTGTGTAGAAACAAGGAAAGATCCACAATGACTGAGTTAATAGCTAGAATTATCCTTATGCTTTCCATTGCATTTATCCATATTTTATTAAAATACTCTTGTATTTTTATTAATGTATATTAAAAACACCTCGTATTTCATACGTGTTATAACTTTAGCAAGGGCACCGCAAAGCGGAGCATCCCCTTGCAAAAGAACATATCGGTGTTGAATATTGAGCATGTTGAGTTTTGATATGTTCCATATCATAAGGTATGTGGACCGCTGCCACAGTTTGATTTATTAATGGGTGTAAATTTATTTGAGCATCGATCATTATGAATGATTTTTGAGTTATAACCGATTCATGCAAGTGCTATACATATACATGTACTTTGCAGCTATTATTGTTTCATAGGCGTCGGAAGCAAATTGAAAGTGGGGAGTTAAACCAACAAAAAAAAAAAACTTTCGGGGGCTAAGCCCAATTTTCAATGCCTATATTATAGCATAATATACATACGAATGAATCGAAACTGAGAAAATCCGTAATTGGCGACTTCACTACGTAGGCAAACTACATGTATGTAGCTAAATATATAGTGATTGGACAAGAGCTGTTAAGAAGTAAACTTATGTTTACATGCTTAAAAAATAACGACAATAATCGTGGATACGTAAACCTGTAATTGGCAACTCATCCTCGCAATGCCAGGGGTCCCGAGTCAACACGTTGCACGTGTTGACTCGGGACCCCGGCATTACGAGGATGTTGGCAACTACACTGTACGTAGTTATAAGCTATTCAAGCTACATAGCTAAATATGATGTTAACAATCAATTCAAACCCGACTCAATTATAATTTACACTTGAAAAAGCAAAATGCTGTATGTTATATTTTAGTACAAATCTCTTTTCTGCTTAAACTTTCAGTAAGGCGTGACATTCTCGGCGATACATAATTTGTGTCTCTCAAATAGTGACCTAGATTCTCATTGGTTGCCGGATTAGCTCACCAATACTGAAATTTACACAGCTTTTCATTCTTGGGTGTAATACACACGGGATAAAAAAGAGTTCGAGTCAATGAGTGACGCAAGGAACTAGTTACATCGTTTCTTACAGTAAGGTGTGGCTTATGTCATCTCATCGTTTGTTAACAACAATCTAAAGTTGCTAATGTTATTAATTTCTTAACCAATGAGAATCTAGGTACCCATTTGAGAGACGCTAATTATGTATCGCCGAGAATGTCACGCCTTACTGAAAGTTTAAGCAGAAAAGAGATTTGTACTATTATCCCATCGTTCAGTTTTAGTTACGTGATATTGGAATATGAGAAGGTCAGACATCAGAATTATGTATTTGAACCAGTTCTACATAATCTTTATAATACTGTTTACTAAAAATGTACGATTTCTTTATGTTGACATATACCTCTGTTTATTTATGACTCCCATCTTAAAAAATATGGCAACCTGTATATTTTTTGCAATTATTAGTTAATTTAAACTAATACAATGAATACAGTGAAAATAAATGCAGTTTTTCTACTTTGAACCATTAAAACTGTGAGGTCGGAAATACCTTAAATCAGGAAATCGAAACCCCTCCATAAATCATCTCCTTCATTGCCATATATTATGTAATTCATACTCAAGGCTGAAGCAAGTAATGGAGAGAAATGTAAGCTAAGAGAATGTAAAGATACTTCTTGTTACACCAAGCCATCAAATGAAAAACTTATGGCATTTTTATCACATTTCCCCCAACGTGACACAAGAGGCCCAAGGGCCTTAACGGTCATCTGAGTATAATGTAACATTAAAGGATTCATAGATTGAAGTAAAATGTATATAAAATTAAACAAAATAAGCTGATAAACGGAGCTATGTTGCCCAAAAAGGAAGAGAAAAAGGATGATCAGGGATTAGCAAAATACTTTAGCACTCGGTAACAAATCGTTAAGTTGATCTTTTTACTTGCCTGTACTTGCCATCATTTGTTACTATCCCAGTGCGGTATAAAATAATAGTTATTGAGCTATAAGTAAATCCATCTTGTTCCACCACGCATTGACCTCTCTTGGTCTTTGAAGAAAGAAAACTCCTACCCTCATACAATTTATTGATTAAGGCTTTATTTTTTACATTCCTTTGCTTCAAAATCTGTAATGCTCCAATTCATAGCATCCTAGTCTTTGTTTTAGCAGTGAACCTTTTGAAAGTGACAGTGGGATTATATTGTACAAATACCATCTTGTAAAGTATCCTGTATAGTTCACGTTGACTATGTACATGAATGGTCTTAATTTTCACAGGGAATACACATGTGAAATATGAAAGCCTAGCACCAACTGTTCTAAAGTTATGGACACGGTTAAAGTTTTTCGAAAGTAGGTCAAACTCTCTTGGTCAAAAGGTCACAAATGTTGGTACCAAATGGAAGGTCTTGTCCTAACATGAAAGCCTTAGCACCAACCGTTCAAAGGTCATGGCTAAGGTTAAAGGTCAAACTCCAAGGTCACAATTTTTGGTACATAAAGAAGGTCTTGTCACAAGAAAAATATAAAATCTATAGCATCAAGCATTCAAAAAATATGACAAATGTTTAAGTTTTTAAAAAGTAGGTCAGACTCGAATGTCAAGAGGCAATAAATGTTGATACCCAAGGGAAGGTACTGTCACAGGTGAAATATAAAAGCCCTAGCACCAACTGTTCAAAAGTTATAGCCAAGGTTAATTTTAAAAAATCAAAGTGAAAGGTCAAGAGGTCACAAATGGTCAAAGTTAAATATGTACCCAAAGAAAGGTCTTATCATATCACAAGAAATACACAAGAAAAATGAAAGCACTAGCTAAAATCATCAAAATTATGGGCAAGTTAGAATTTTTGCAGACAAACAAACAGACAGACCAAAAACTAAATGCCCCCAAAAACTTTACGGGGGGGCTATGAAAACCTTAAATCTCCGTTTCCTAAAGCTTCAACATTAAGTATTTGTATCATCTATCATGGCCCTTCTGTTTGTAAAAGATTCAATACTGTTCGTTATCTCCATATTTCATTTTAAAATCATTTTTTCCTTCATATTCTCAGGTAAATATTTGACCTCCCCATTGTGGCTCCACTTACCTCCAAAGGACATGATTTATATAAAACTGAATCTATATCCTGTAAGAGTTTCATATGAGAAAAGGATTTTTTAAATGCCCCATCCTAAAATTGACTATTTCTGAATTAATGATCTGGTCCTTGATTTCAACAAACGTAAATACTCTTTGATCTAGGATGCTTTGTGGCAAGTTTGGTTGAATATGGCTCTGTGATTCTGGAGAAGTCGAAAATGTGAAAAGTTTACGGATTACTGACGTCACATGATAGTCAGACGGACGCTAGACATTCTTCGGTCAGAAAAGCTCGATGAGCTAAAAAGGGAACGATGCTGACGTATTTTCCCCAATTCTTATAATAAATGAACATGTGCAATCAGAAGTGAAAATCAAGTAATCTAACAATAAAAATGTTTGGCTTCATCTACGCGCAAGTCAACAATGCAATCATTAAGTAAAATGGATGCAAGGGAACAAAATGGCGACAATTTTTTCTCAGGAACAATGTCACTCCACTGAATGAATGGTGTTGGACCATCGTTTGGGAGGTAGAAGGAATCATAAATCTCAAAAGTAAACATTTAGTCTTTAACATCAAAACAGTAAAAATTCTTGGCTTTATCCACGCGCAAACCAACAGTGAAATCTAAAAAGAAATGGATGCAAGGGAACAAAACGGCGACGAATTTTCCAGGAACAACGTCACTCCACTGAAAGTATGGTGTTGGGTCGTCGTTTGGGAGGTAGAAGGAAGCATAAATCTCCCGTCTATCAGAATCCTGAAAGCAAAATATTACCAGAATCAAACACTGTAATGTTAAAAACAAAGGAGACGGTTCCCATGAACTTTATAAAATAAATATCCTTTTTTGATAATCCATCCATTTTACAAATTAGAAGTTAGACATCCATGCTTTGGTGTCAAGGACTTCCCCACAAATAGATAACCAAGCGCATTAATGTTTTTTCCTTTTTCTTCTTTTTCAAATATTTATGGTTTAAAAAAATGACAGAAATACTAGTCATAAAAATAAACATTTCTATATTTAACTTCATCCAAGCCAAAAGGTCGGATCGTTTACCCTGGTCTATATCCTTACAAACTGTCTTTGATTGGATGATTAAATATTTAATGTACATGAATAATTTACCTGCAAGTATACACTATGACAGCCCCTGTAGTTATGGAACCTTCTAATGTAGGCGAGAAACACATAAGGAAGTGTAGCAATGTTAGAGGAAAACGCAGATTTCCCTTCTATTGGAATTTCTCTGAGACGGGTTATCAGAGTGTGATAGGGAAACTTTCTTTTAGTTTTCTCTATCGCCTTACTGCGTGATTGCGCAGTTCTTTCCACAATCCACTTTAAATCCGCATTATCAGTAACAAATAATGGATTTCTTGGGTAGGGTAATTTGGCGTGGGAAGGAGAAATGTCAAATCTTAAAGATTGACCGTCCGCAGAATTGTAAACGCATGACGACATTGTTATACCTGAACCTGGTAAATCGGATGTTGCACATGTTTTTTTGTGTTCAGATTTATCCAGTTCCATACAGTGTTCTGAGCAGTAAATTGAAGATTTACACATGGTACAAGTGACATTGAAAGTCCCAGGGGCTAGTTTTTTTAAACACCGATTGCAGGAAAAATCTGTAAAATCTTTTTTTTCTCCAAACTGGATTTTCCCGTCATTTTGGTTTCTCCCTCCGTGTTCTTCCGGCGTGACAAGACCCATTAATGAGCACTCTGCAATAGTGAGAGTCTCTCTCACTCTCGGCTGAGATCTGTATGCTTTACATGATGTTTTGTGTTTATTCCAATCAGACTTTTGGCAATCTTTTGAACAGTAATAAACAACCCTACAGCCAGAACACCTGAGTTCTGCACTTTGACTTCTACAGTTTGCACATATTGGCAAAGGACTGCCAGGGCCCTTTTTATTCCCACATGTTGGTTTTCCCTCTACGGTGCAAATTGATTTGTGCGTTTTCCAGTCTGCTTTTTGACATTCAGGAGAGCAGTATTTTTGTAGTTTACATCTTTGGCATACTTTTATTGTACCTGTTTTTCTGCATACAGTACAAACATTTAGCGGTTTATGATCGTTATCTTCTTCATCAACGGTCGACTCTTTGTTAAAGACATCTTTCTGGTCGCCTTTCTCCACTCCTTGTAAACCATCTCTCTCCTCAGCTCGTACATGTATCTTCACACATTCATCCTTGTGTTTTTGTGTCCAGTCCTGACTTTGACACTTTCTGGAGCAATAAGACACCTTCAGACATCTTGTACATCTCTGTAGCTGCTCTGACGGTTTCTTGCAGGAAGTGCACGACAAAATTTGTGAACTTAATTCTATTAAAATAAAAATCTCAGTATTATGCAGGTAAAAATTCTTTGTTTGAACTTAGTTTAGGAGAAGAAGAAGAATTGGAATTTTCGGTTGGGGGAATTTCTACAGCAGAGCAACAGCGACTATGGATAAAAAGTGTGGAAACCATGTTGTGCAAAAATTATAATATAAACAAATGATATAATCTAATCAACTAAAATTGTTAAAGCCAGAAATTGTACTTTACTATGATCTTCTTCATCAACGGTCGACTCTTTGTTGAAGACATCTTTCTGGTCGCCTTTCTCCACTCCTTGTAAACCATCTCTCTCAGCTCGTACATGTATCTTCACACATTCATCCTTGTGTTTTTGTGTCCAGTGCTGACGTTGACACTCTCTGGAGCAATAAGACACCTGCAGACATCCTGTACATCTCTTTAGCTGCTCTGACCGTTTCTTGCAGGAAGTGCATGACAAAATTGGTGAACTTGAATCTATTAAAATAAAAGTCGTAGTATTATGCAGGAAAAAAATTCTTGGTTTAAAATTAGTTTAGGAGAAGGAGAAATACGTCCTCTTTTTTTTAACTTGAAAAATATAAATTTCATTAATAGAAGTTTTCTCTTTACATGTTAGCCCATGGCTCTCAAACTGCTTTTTGGGAATGGGGCCGGGGTCATAAAGATTGGGAAAATGGCGACATTTGGGGGGAAATTTTTGGATAACCATCATACTTTAAAATCATTATATATACTGGGTTTCTGGTCCTTGATATCAACTAAATTTCTTTTTTTGCAATACAGAGGAATATAAATAACTTAAGTTATTATATATCTAACTATATTTTCTTAATTTTTGGAAGAAATGACTATTGGGAAAATAGGTACCTTTTTGACTTGGGAATTGGGCACTTGAACAGCCCCATAGAAAATCGAGAGCCCTGTTAGCAACTTTATTTTATACATGTTGTTTTATGTTGTAAATTTATACTTCAGGCACTCCGTTTCCATTTCCATCATGATAAAAGAAGTGAATGTGCACATTTTACAGAATTTGTCAGCACATGAATATTATTGTTATTATTCCCCTACCGGTGAAACCGGAGGGGACTATAGGTTTCCTCTGAGTCTGTCTGTCTGTCTGTCTGTCCGTCTGTCCCACTTGGTTTTCCGCAATTTTCTTCTAAACGCTTGCAGATATTGAGCTGATTTTTGGTATGTGAGTGTATCTTGTCGAGTTACAGAATAAGTTTGCATCTCGTTCCACTTCAATGATTTTTGACGGAATTACGACATTTTCAATTTTTCAGGGTTTTCCGCACTTTTTTCTAAACGCTTGCAGATATTGAGCTGATTTTTAGTATGTGACTTTATCTTGATGAGTTATAGATCAAGATTGCATTTCATTCCGCTTCATTGATTTTTGACGGAATTATAGCATTTTCAATTTTTACGGGAACCAGATTACACTTGCCGGTTGGGGACTAGTATTGCTAATGCAATACTCTCAGAATGCTTTTGTTTCTATTTTTTTTCGGGGGGGGGGGGGGGGGGTTCATACCTTGTTTATGTGCCTAATATTTCATACAAAAGACTGTATGCAGCAAACCCCACTGAACTGAAGTATAAAATTTTAACAGGTTAGTAAAATGTTAATTATATAACACTTCGGATACGTTGCCATGATGCGCTCAGTGGCGAATATGCACATTTTAACGGTAAACATTTACTAGCACAAATTACCAATAGTCTTATAATATATATAAATACATTCACATCTTATAATGTTATCAATCGCTTTACCATTATTTCCATGCCCATCCATATGATTTTTTTTAGTGATATTACATCCCCTCATTTTTTTTAAACATCGGGTTCAATGGCATTTGACGTTCTAGAAATTTTCATCAATACTAATTGTATGATTGGCCATTGGAGAAAATGATTTGCACGTTTTGTGTTTTAGTCAGTTCTCACAACTTATCTCTCCTGTATCAATTTAATAAAGTTTTGATTACTAGTAAATCATTCATTAATGACTATATATTAAAGAATTATTCGATTGTTATCAGTTTCATTACAAATTGCCAATGACTTAGATCCGCCAACCGTAACCACCACCGTACTATCTTTTTTTTTGCTATTTCACGGCTGTTTATCGAAAATGAAAATAGATTTTAAATTAAATTTACTATAATTACTATGCGAGTGAAATCGATATATATTTGACGGACAACATCTCATAATTAGTGTAATATTAGAGGAATAAGTATGACTCTGGTGCAGGTGTTTCGGAGATTATTTGCAAAATTTATTATTTATAAATATATATCTACAATGAAGAAATATATTTTTAGAGGAAAATACTTTGCTCCCAGAGAGCTTATTGAATATGAATAACAATAAATTTCTGCATTTTATTATGAATTTGTAGGAGGACAATGGTACCGTCCATATATATTGTAGTTCACTAAATTTCCGCGACACTTTACTTTCGCGAGATAGCCATTTACTCTTTATTAGCAAGAAGAAGTATTCACAAATTGTGCCTATTACTCCATACAATCTATAGGAATACTAATATCACGAGAAGAAAATTTTTGCGAGCACATTGTCTCAAGTAATTACGCGAAAATAAAATTCTCACGAATAAAACGTGATTTACTGTACTTAAATCTGAGGATGCAACACTGTTCCATACACAGTCTTTCAGAAGAAGGTACGACCCAAGATTTTGGTCTTGGGTCGTTTTGCAATTTTATTTTCATTTTAACGTTGATAAAATTGTGATTTAATATTAATAAAAATCAATTTTGTTTTTAAAATTATATAATTATAATCTCAAAAAATTATGAAGTTTGTGAAATTCTTGACCTAGTCATACATTCTTTTGTAAAAGTGGGGCCTAAGTTTGGAAAACATTGTTTTCGTGTAAGACTGTCGGCTTACCGTCTATGCTCACTTCCTTGCAATCTCTCTCATGTCCAGCTTTCCAGTGATTTCGTTGACATTCCCGTGAACAATAAAATTCTCCCTTACATCGACTGCATCTCATTAAATCTGAGGATCGGATCCCACAAAAACTGCAAATGTTCTTCATTTCTACAGACATTAATAACAACCATTAAATATTGAACTGTAAGAACTTTTTTTCACAGGTATGTATTCCTCTTACCATCAACGCTCACTTCCCTACACTCTTTCTTGTGTCCCTCCTTCCAATGATTTTGTTGGCACACCCTGGAGCAGTAGAATTTTGCCTTACAGCGACTACACCTCTGTAATTCTGATAAGTGGACACCACAAAAACTGCAGTATTTCATCATGGGCATATCTGAAGTAAAATCTTTAAAAACTCATTGATATAAAAAGCCTCCTTATTGGGAGTGGTTGGGTCACAGCTGATTTTGGATACTGGGCTGTTGATGAGCTATTTGTGCAAGGAATAGTTGGCCCATGCTCATAACTATTATCCGTTTCTGATATTTTATGAAATCAAATAAACTCTGCAGGCCCGTAGTACGGGGTGGGGGTGAGGGCTACTTTTTTGAGAAAAGTTTTAAAATGTAATTTTAATATGTAAATTTTCATTTGGAATCTCCCCTCCCCCATTTTTTGTTGCCGTAAGGTAGAACACAAGTAAATCCCAGAATTTGAAAAGAAAAATTAACCGAAAAGTCAGAAAAAGGTCCCCCACACACTTTCATGCACATATACACACATGGAATATTTTTTGGAGTTTACTTTTTTCCATGATTTTTTTTAGTTTTGTTTGTTTGTTTTTTTTCCTTGTAATATTTTAAGGGTTGTCCCCACTTTGAAAAACGTACTGCTCAAAAATAACAATAACACTAAATCTATTTATGAAATATATGGAGATAACGAACAGTATTCAAGCTCAAAAGTCCATTAAACAATACAAATTTTGGAGCAGAGCAAACATCAGAGGTGGGATCAGGTGCCTTGGAGGAGTGAGCATCCCCTGCCTACCGGTCACATCCGCTGTGTGCTCCTTGTCATGATCAGGAAATAACGGAAAAATCCGTCGACAATTCAGTGTGTAAATAATGGCCTAACAATTAGTATGAAAAACGTCAGTCAGCATTTGATTTAATGATAAATTGTATTTGCTGACAAGGTCATTGTATCGAGACTGCTGATACTCTTTTTTCATCAACTTGTTTGTCAATATCTTAGATCGTTTTAGAAATTGTTCATACGTAGAGCATGCATTTGCGTATCGAATCAACCGAGAGATATAAACCCTGTATGCAGGTGATGTAGGTATATATATATATATATATATATATAAGTAAGGGAAGTTGACGATTAAAAAGTTAAATTCAACACGTTTATCATAAAGCTTGGTTGTTAGATTACCATTAACATCTTTTTCGAATAAAATATCAAAATATGAGTCAGATGTGTCAGACTCTGTGGTATCTTTTATTTCAAGCTCACCGGGATATATCGTGTCGACATAAGAATGGAAATAACCACTGTTAATTGACAATACGTCGTCGATATATCTAAATGTCGAGTTGAAGGCCACAGCAAATGTTTTCTTCTTTTCACGTATAAGATTTTGAACAAACTCTGCTTCATATGAATGTAAAATCAGTAAGCACATTTTCTTTATGCGCTATTTCATCGATGCCTCCAAAAGCACATTTCGCTCATCAAAATGATCATTTTTACATGTCTGTCATATTTATGAAGGTCTATGCCAACGTATAAACATGACTTACCATATTGAATACGGTTGAAAATATTTTATATTTCGTCTCAATTTGCACTATTGCACTACACGTTGGAGATAACGTTAACGTGACGTTATAACATATAAAATACGTTAAATTAATGTTATTTTTGCTGTTGTTGATACACATACTTTTCTTAAAATACAATTAAATAATTTTTTTTTTCAATTTTCAAAATATTTTTTTTTGTTTACAAGTTCAAAATAAAGGGAGGAAAAACCTATACTGGAATAAATTCTAATTAATACGTTGACATATTGTGGAGGGCCCTGGTGACGGAGTTAGGGTTCGTACACGGATGTGATTCTATTTTTAGCAGTTTATTAGTATAAGCCCAATAAATACATTTTAAAAACAAGAGGCTCATGGGCCACATCGCTCACCTGAGCACAATGGCTAGGAAAAAGCACAAATCAATTTAGTATTGAAAAGTTTACATGCGGGGGGGGGGGGGGGGGGGGGGGGCTTGAATTTTAAACTACATGAGGATGCTTCCATATCAATATAATAAATGGCTTTGTTGTTCTTAAGCAGAAGATTTTTAAAGATTTTTTCCTATATATTTCTATATTAAACTTTGATCCCCCATTGTGGCACCACCCTACCCCAAGGGGTCATGATTTGAATAAACTTGAATCTACACAATGTAACAAAGACTTCCAATAAGTTTCAACCTTCTTGGGCCAGTGGTTCTTGAGTAGAAGATTTTTAAAATATGCCACCATATTTTCACTATTTCTGAATTATCTCGCCTTGAATAAGGGCATGGCCTTTCATTTGAACAAACTTGAATCCCCTTTACCCAAGGATGCTTTACGGCAAGTTTGGTTGAATTAGGCCCAGTGGTTCTGGAGAAGAAGTCGAAAATGTGAAAAGTTTACAGACGGATGGACAGACAGACAGACGGACTACAGACAAAATGTGATCAGAAATGCTCACTTGAGCTTTCAGCTCAGGAGAGCTAAAATGGATTGAAAATATTGTTTAAGTTCATTACTAAGTTTAGCATACAAGAAACAAATTTAAAATATAATTCAGAGAGAAACATGGCGTGATTTCTGATTATGGTGACGGAGTTTGGGTGGCAGGGATAATATTGTACCCCATGTACTAACAGTTTGATTTTGTGAATAAGCTGAATTTGAACTTTGCATTACTGTTAATCAAAATATATGATTATGCAAATGATGCTGCTTATTATGACATTGTTAGGGAAAATGACCTATGATTGAGTAGTATTTTGGCAGGCGTTTTTCATACTAATTGCTAATACTAAATTTGACTACGGAATATTCTGTCTACCTGATCAATATTTAAGGGTGAAACCGATCGACCTGGGATACTTACTCCTCCTAGGTGCCTGATCCCAAGGCTGGAATTTTGGGGGGTTCGTGTTTTGTGCCCTCTTCACATATTTGTATTGTTTGTGGATTTTTTAAAAGATCGATCACTTTTTGTTAGCTTCACCGACTTCGTTACATTATTGCATAAATACTAGAGTCCCATGGGCCACAACGCTCACTTGAGTAACTTTGGCCCTTCAGTTCTTTGTCAGGTTTCCCCCCTTGTAATACTTATTGTGGCCCCACCCTACCCCGGGGGTCATAATTTGAACTATTTAGAATCTACACTACTTCAGGAAGATTTTTCCTATATATTTCAATGCTAAACTTTGTTTCCCTATATATTACAGCCCCACTCAACTCCTAGGGGCCATGATTTGAACAATTTAGGATCTACACTACCTCAGGAGGCTTCCAAATATGTTTCAGCTTTTTGGCCCAGTGGTTCTTGAGAAGAAGATTTTTGAAAATTTTTCCCATATATTTCCATGTAAAACTTTAATTCCATGTTGTGGACCCACCCTACCCCCAGGGGCCATGATTTGAACAATTTATAAACAAAGCTTCCACATAAGTTTCAGCTCTTCTGGTCCAGTGGTTCTTGAGAAGAGGATTTTTAAAGATTTTTCTGATATAATTCAATATTTTTCTTATATAATTCAATATAAAACTTTGATTCCCTATTTTGGCCCCACTTTTACCCGGGCCATAATTAATGTGAATAATTTAAAATCTACACTATCTCAGAAAGTTTCCACTTAAGTTTAAGTTTTTCTGGACCAGTAGTTCTTGAGAAGATTTTTTAATGACTCCACCCTTTTTTGTTTTTCTTGATTATTTCTCCTTGGAAGAGGGCCTGGCCCCTCATTTTAACAATTTAAACTTCCCTTCAGCCAAGAATGCTTTGTACTGACTTTGGTGAAAATTGGCACAGTGGTTCTTGAGAAGAAGTTGAAAGTGTGAAAAGTTTACAGACGGACGGACGACGGACAACGGGTGATCAGAAAAGCTCACTTGAGCTTTCAGCTCAGGTCAGCTAAAAACTTATTTTTAAATGCTTACCAGTGTTTTGAACTGTCTTACCTATTATCTTTTATCTTAAGTGTTCGCCCGTGTATACCTTAAAAAGAAATTCTCTGAAAACAAAACGAAACTACAGCCTGCAGCGATAATTTTCAAAAAACAACTCACTACAGTAGAGTTCTAAAGTTGTTCATGCATTTACATTATTTTTATTTGTAAAATGTCTTTTAAAATACATGTATTAAACGCCGTTTGGATATGAAAATAAGGGTAATTTTCAAAAAGAATTATTTCTGACCAATCTTCTGTATTTTGAAAAACTTAAAATAGGAAGGCGGATTTCATGTATTACAGGATTTCTTTACCGTCTATTTTTATCAGAAGCCTTTATTCTGAAGTCTGTGAAGGGTATATTTATTACCCCACCTCTGTTGATTTTTCGATGAAATCCTGGCTTACGATTGGTTGAAGTCTGTCACGTGAAGGGGGTGTATTACTTATACCTAGTCGCTTGAAAATCAATACATGGTCGATACGGAGTTATCGTTCTTTTGTAACGTTCGAACAACTCGAGTTCACGCGATTTGCCGAGTGTCTGTTGACAATGTTACAGTTAACTAATGTAAGTAACGAAGATGGAACATTTTTCTCCCTTTACTGAAAGTCTTCAAAACTGTCAGTACGTTATTACAGCACGAAACACTCGCACACGCACACGAAACAACATCACGTCACACAACGTGACGTCATAACAGGCATTGTATGAGTGATGAAACATATATAGTGAGAAAAACAATTTTACAAACCACAGACAATGCATAAATATTTTATTGGTGGGGTAAATTCGTTACATAGTTTTTTAGTGACAGGGTACGGGATGATACCTGGTTAGTAAATTTCATACCTGGCTCGGCTTCGCCTCGCCAGGTATGAAATTTACTAACCAGGTATCATCCCGTACCCTGTCACTAAAAAACTATGTAACTAATAGTATCCTTTTTTCCATCAGTGAACTTTAATGCGAGACATCCAAGTGCAATCGTAATTTTGGCCTTTCCGGCAACCTTGAAAAAACACCTCGAATGTATTTTACATTAGCGGATAGCAAATTTTATACGATATGGAAAAAACTTCCTATTTATCAAAGTAATGGATGGGCAGAATTGAATATCCCTTCTGTGGTATATTTAGCTCACCTGAGCTGAAAGACAAATGAGCTTTTTCTGATCACACGT